ACGGCACGAAAAAGCAATCACAGACAGGACAACCAAACCAAACGACACCCCCCGTTGTGTGATGGAACCTCACGGGACCATGAGACACGGCAGCATGGGTTGAACTAGCAAGGTCGGTCTCTGCATCGGTCTGCCCTCTGACTGACCGGGGGTGAACTGGAGATTCCCTGGATGACTGCTGAACTTTTTCTTCTTCTCCGTCTTCCTGTTCTGCTGTTGGGCCGCAACCCCCCTGTCCGCGCCGCTTCATGCCTCATGGCAGCCTAGTAGAATAAGAGAAAGAGAACAAAAAGCACGGACTCGAGCCGGGCAAGACGAAGAGACCAATCACAGCATGGCATTGGGCTATTCCTGGGCACTCGGCAGAAGGAAAAAGGGCAATGTTCCATGTCAATTGTCATCTGTCTTACTCTTCGGTGATGGAACTAGAGTGGATGGCTTGTTCGATCACACCGCTTTTGCTTGCGAGCTGAAAAAAGCCCAAAGGAAAGATGGGAAAAAAATAGTACTCATACTAACATTACAGCACATACAATGGCCGGGATGGTGCTAGTAATCTAGGAGAGGAGAAGATATTCTTGGTGACCCCAGCTGAAGCGCCGGGAATGACGAGCTGACATCCAGTTGCTGGGCGCCATGAGCAATAAGCCGTTGGTGCCTTTGTTCACCGAAAAGCGCGGGGCGTTTGGATGCGGGCTGGTCAGGATTCTGGCTGATGCTTGAGCAAGGCTTGCCTGTCTGTTGAGGGAGTCTTTCGCAGTGCAGGATTCCTTCATTGGATCCTCGTCTGAGTGTAAGTGCAAGTCCGGAGTTGGAATCATGCCGTGCCGCATCTCTCAGGCTGGCTGTAAGTTACCGAGCGGCATTGCATGAATGATGCTACGGTACACACAACATGTAGGACTGCGGAAATACTTGCTCGAGAAGATGCGGGCACAGGGTTCGAGGCTCAGTTCGAGGCAGACAGACGGCGAGGAAGAAACGGGCAGCCAGTCTCACTCACTCACTCACTCGCTCACTCACTCACTCACTCACCCACACTCAACTTTGCTCTCTCTCTCTCTCAGAGTCTCGACTCAAACTCGCGCACGCGGCCGAGTCCGTTTTCCGTCCTTGCATGAAATCTGCATGAATCCAATGCAACTCCTCTCCACCCGTCGCTTCTCAGGCAACAGAGCGAGAAGACGCAGGAAAAAGGCACTCACGGCCACACATTCGCCTGCGTCCAGCTTCTCTGCCACCGCCACGTATTCGCCATGTAATGCGGCATGTCCCCAATAGCGCCACTGCCAGCATGCATGTCTCTCCAGAAGCGGGAGGCTAAGAAAACCCGCCATGTGCGAGCGAAAAACAAAAGGCTGTATGACCCTTAATCCTTGCCCCCGGGGGGGTTACTCGTTCTGTTGCTACCCGTTGCAGGTGGCTTTTCAGGGCTCTTTCTGCTGGCATGGACGAGGTACGAGTACCACAATGCATGCAGAGAACCTCGGCCATGCACAAGTCACAGTATGATATCGTACTTGTATGCCTCGGGGACGAGATGAGTGGAACGGAGACGAGGGTCAGGCGGCGTTTGGGCTTGCGCTACTGCTGGTGACACGAAAGAGCACGCAGTCACATGCGGTGCTTACTGCTTGTGGGAAATAGTGGACTTGTGGTCTCTTTTGTTTTGTCTGTTTTCCTTTTTGTGAGCTCTCACATTGGTCTTGTTGCTATGGGTGAGAAGGAGAAACGAAAAGGTGAGAGTTGATAGGGTCGACGGGTTCGGCTGGAGCCTTTCGGTTTTTTTGCTTGGGCTGCTGTGCATGCCAAGTTTGGGCGACAATTCCATGTAACTCGTCTTTGGCTCCATGATTCTCTGTGTTCACCATGCTTATTCCTTGATTTTTTATTAATTTTCAGGGCACCGTGGCGATGATTGGGTTGCTGTCTGTCAGGGCCAACCAAGGACGGAATGGCTCTCTCTTGCAGCATCAGGCACGAGTGTCATTTCTATTCTGCGTGATTTGCCGTCAGATGAAGCTCACGCCTGCATCGATGCAGTACCAAGACGGCTCGGAGAGAGCAACCTCAAGGGGGGCGTATCACGGAGGGCTCCGGTACGACCAGCCTCGACGTCCACTCTGGGGGGTTACATCCCAGAACACGGCAAGCAATGCGGTCAGAAAGATCTCATGTTACAGGTGATTTTTCTCCTTGTTTTTCACCTGGACATGCAACCCGAGTCAAAACTAGCAGCAAGGAACGGAACTCAATGGACAAGAACTGCTCCCCCGTACTACGACTTGCTTATCTGCAACTGCCGGGCTTCTCTCCACAATTCGCGGAAGGGTGTCAGTCTCCATGTTACATTTACGTGCCATGGCCCTGAATTAGTTAAAGCGATGAGAAAGAAAGCGGCAGGTTATTTGACTGCTGACTGCCTTTTCGTTTTGTGCTTGTGCTGCGGAGATCGACGCGCTCCACCGGCAGTTGATTGTGTAGTTTAGTTTCACCTTCACTTACACTGTACAGTTAGCAGTTGGACTTTTGTAATTGTAGATGGGCCTGGATTTCGTGAGATGAAAGAGACGACGCGAATTTAGACCCCGTCTGGAGCTCAGCTGGTGGAATGACACCCAAGTGTGTTCGGCCATCGGTAGTCTCCCACGCAGCTGAGTCCTAGACCATCTCTTTCATCCGCCGACAACATCAAGTGCCGATACTCGATGTTAGCGCGGCGTCGGTGATACTGTATTCCATACTGTAATACTCCGTTCGATGTAGGTACCTGTTTCTTGGCTTAGACTTGGGCATCGTGCCGACATTGGGCTGCAAAACATGGTACACGGCCGGTGTCTGATACAAAGGCAGGGCCAAGTTTGCCTTTGGGCTCTCGGCATCTGCCTTGATTGGCAGAGACTTGGGGGCGTCGGGCACGGAGGACCTCCGGGACCCCCAAAACGCCAAAAGACGCCGTAAAGGTCCAAGCCCGACCCGGTGCCATTGCGTTGGAATGTAAGTGAAGCCAGGAGAGGATTGGCGATGGCGACACAATTTCCCTCCTCTCCCGAGCTGTGCTGTGTCTACTAGGCTGGCATTGGTCTAGCCAAAGCCACATTGTGAGATTGTGTGATTGATCGGGAGACGGTCCATTCTGTTGTTTCAAGTGGTGGCAGTGTAGTTGTGAAAAAGGACACTGTCCATGACCCTGTAATGCAAGAAAGCAAACAAACCATGGCCGGCTATCGCCCAAAAGTCAAAACTGCCTTGCTAAGCACGGGATGGCGTTTGACCTCGTGCCCCAATCGGGCTGAGGAGCTGGAATGAAGCCATTCTCCATTGTGTCTTGTCGTAGTAGAGCCAAGCAGTGGCAAAGGTTTATTGTTTGGAATGGTCACGGGGAGGTTTGGTGCAATGACCGACCGAGACGCCGCTCCGGGATGCGGGCGGCCGAACCGGTACTGCCGGGAGTTGCGTAAACTTGCTTCGCCGCGGAGGAAGCATTTAGTTACGACTTCAATAGCGGCAGAAGTAGTAGCAGTAGCAGTAGTAAACTCGTAGTCCCGGAGCGATGGAATGTTTGAAGCTTGCGAGTTCCGATGATGGTGCGCAAGCCCTCGGGATGGGATTTAGTACTACATACATGAACTTGCCTTGTGAGGCTGGATCGGTTTGACTAAGTTTTGAAAGATCTGATGCTCGGCAGCGAAGACTTTTACTCTCTAGGCTGAAGTCTGATGAAAGTATCCTGCTTACACATTGACGGCAGATAGATACATACAACATTCGTTTGCCACTTATGAGACCGTTGGGGAATGTTTCCATCGGTCAACTGTGAAGGAACCGCCGACGCTTTTCGGTGGCGATCAAACTAGTACTGCCGAGGCTCAAACAGCTTCATCAACTTCCAAACCTTTACAATTGCCATTGGCCGTCTACGCATCGACTCGCCGACGCAAGTTTCCACGCATTCCGTCTACAATACAAAATTCATCATCACGGAGCCAAACGGATTCCGATGAAGAGTCAACTTGCCGTCTCCTTTCCTTTCCGCGTAACCGGAGTAAACGGAGACAAAAAGGTTCTTCCAAATAGCACGTCGTAGCTCGAAACTGAACCGCCGCACCTACGTTGCGTAATACTGGAATGACACACACGGCATGTCGTGAGCAACGGGGTCTGTCATTGTGATTCCTTTTTGGGATCGAGGGTTTTCCCATCATGGCAATCGGGGGGTCATGTTTGCCAAATTTCGGCCTCTTCGGAATCCGATGGCAAAGAGGTTTGCTTAACCAGGAGGAATGGCTGCCTTGGGTGCTGTGTCACCATAACTCCTCGGAATCAGTCAACTCCCCGACGCCACGGTAAATGGACGGAAGACCCAGACTTCTAGGCATCCCCATTACGAAACGACAAAGGCATGCTGAGTGAGGGTTGAGCAAGATACTTTCTCGCTATTGCCACGGCTCAACACTAGGTTTTGCCGGAATGAGCTGCTTGGCGAGTGATGATGACGAGGCAAGCGGCATGTGATGGAATTATGGATGAAGAATCCTCTTGTCGTGATACATGCCGTCTTACAAACGGAATTAGAATGATGGCGAAATAGCAAGAGACTTGGTCAGCAACTTCTGATCATGTGGGCTCTCGAGATTTTGCAAGATCTAAACTCTGATGACGAGGAATCATACAGTTATGTAAGCATCAGCTTACTAGTAATGAAGCCTCCGAACTTTTAGCCACCGGAAGCTGTGATGGTTCGGCACCGGAGGGAGTTGGGGCCGAAAACCCGGGGGTGGGGCCGAGTCTTTATCCCGGTGTAATGGTTGAGATATAGGAGAACGGTGGTTGAGCGGATGACTATGTGAGACTGCAAATAGATTGAGGGCCGAAGGCCAATTCTAACCATCAAAATGCCTTCCAACTCATTGCAACGGCGAGAAACAGTGGCATGCCTTGGCTAATATGCGAAAAAATTGACACAATTTGAAGCCATATACACAACTATTCCACCCACTCTATACTAGGCTCTTGACAAAGAAACAACAGTCATGCTTGTGTCCGCTCGACGACTTTGCATAATCAGGGCAGATCCCCCATTCCGTCCACCCAGTCCTCAAGTAAAACTGCCTCGCCGGCGTCTCCTTCGAAGTATCCAGCAGCAACAACTCCAACCCAAACTCCTCCTTCGCAACCCTTTCAATCTCGTCCATCATCCGTCGCCCCAGGCCGTGCCGTCGAAAGTCGGGATGCACCATCAGCTTCCTGATTTCGCCCTTGTAAGAATGCGTCTCCTTGGCCATCCTGGCGAGCTGCACCGTCGCAACGACCTTGTCGCTGCCGGGAGCCGTCGCTATGAGCAGCGTCGTCGTTGCGCCAGGTCCAATGACTAAAGGCAGGAGTTCAAGCCAGTAGCTGATTGCCGTGTGGTCTGTCAGCGGCGCGAGGAATCCGAGCGATGAAGTGTCCGGCTCATCGTTGATGCAATGCTGGAGGAGCTCCCGTAGCGACGTGAGGTGTTTTTCCACGACTGAAGCGTCTGTCACGGGGGACAAGACGAAGGTAGGGTCTTTGCTGCTACCCATGTTTGGTGATTGAGAAGGCTCAACGGATGTCTTGATGCGGATGCCGTCGGAGTGTACCAAAAGCACCGTATGAGGCCATCGACGATGCTTGTATGAACAAACTCGCTGCGGCTGCACCACTTTTGTTATGGAAACATCGGCCCGGCGTTTGACTCATTTACCGGTTCGGTTCCCTTATATATCACGTATGGAGTGCGTGTGTCATTTCAAACATCGACTCATCGCAGGCATATCCCATCTCCACGTCTGATAAGAAACATGTCAATATTTGATATTATTCAATTGAAATCTTCAAAATCACAAAGAACCAAAGGAAGAAAAAGACTCGCGACAAACGATAAGAAACCCGGCTGCCGACGGTTATTCGGGGCCCCGAACCATCGGTCGGACCATGTGGAGCGGCTGGTCCCTAGACGGCATCAAAAGCCGACTTGATGCGGGGATTGTTATCGGCGGCTGTTTATTTGCCAATTGAAGGTGTATTGGTTGATCCGGCAAGAATCACGGTGGAATTGTTTGACTGATGTAGCTGCAGAGTATGGCGGTTTTCTTGTCATACAATTACACGGCTGTGTTGATGGTATACCGTGGGCGGTACGATGAGCTGCTGGGGGGAAAACAACTGTAGACATCTCCTCACTGTATCTTTACACCAAACAATAGCTGTTTTGATCAAGTAAAACGTTGTTGCCGGGGTCGTTTATATTCATGGCCATCCATCATTACATATAATGACATTTGGGACCTCGTCAGCTCTGCGAACCGCCGATACTGTCTCATACTCTCATTGTAGCGCGGCACAGACACTCGTGCCGAGTGACAACCCGCCTAATGCGGCCCTTCAATAGCTCTTCTGAGATGTTCTATTCGCTAAAAACACATGAGGGGGGGTCTGGACCTGTCGATCCCCGTTCTGGAGCACATGGTTAGCCGACCTGCGGTGTCCTGAACGTGAAGTTACATACCCTGTATATCAAAATACAAACTCTTCCATAGATCCAGCGAGGGCTCTAAGTAGGCTCATGGATTCAGGTTCGTCACGAGTCATAACGGGATTAGTTAAACTCCATCTCTGCGAGTGAATATTCATGTGAAACAGGCTGACTTTACTGCTTTGATTCAAATACACCCATATAGTAGCACAATTCTCGGTGACAATGACAAACCTGATAACCTAATAGCAAATCCCAGCTCTCAAAATCATAGACGGCAGCGCTCCCTGTATTTGCCATCTTCCCGACATCCAATTTCCCCAGAATCTCAAAGTAATCACTCATGGTGAAACATTGTCTCACCCCCATTTTCGAGCTCTGAAACGAAATAGAATAACCCCCCAAAGCTGCGTTCAAAAACTGAAAAGTTAGTTCGTTCGTGATGGGCAACAGCATAGCATCGAGCTTCCAACTACACCGCCGCGAAGACTCAAACATGGGATCAAGACTCGACACACCGCTCACGAATCGGCACTGCAAGCAAACATGAGAAGAACATAGCAGTTACAAAAGTACACATCAAAACTATAAAGCTCTCTTGAAATCCCACGACAGCTTCTCTTTTCTCCTCACCAAGATCTCACACAACAACACAGCGAACACAGTCACTCTCTAGCTCTCCTTCCCAAGACTTTCACTTCCAAACACTTTCACTTCCAAACATTTCCAAAAATGGTTTCTTTCATTGCCACCGCCCTCTCTGCTCTCTGCCTGGCCGTCGCCAGCTCTGCTGCTCCCACTGAGGCTGAAGCCCACGCAGCTTCTGCTCACAGCGGCTCCGTCACCTGGTATAATACCGGCCTCGGCGCCTGCGGCAACGTCAACAACGACGGCGAGCTCGTCGTCGCGGTCTCTCACTCTCTTTACGACCGCGAGCATCCATGTGGCCGCAAGATCCGCGTCGGCTACCACGACCGGTCTGCAGTCGTCACTGTCGTCGACCGCTGCGCGGGGTGCGCCGAGAACGACCTTGACCTCTCGCCTGCTGCTTTCCGAGCCGCAATTGGCGAGCTTGATATCGGTCGTATTACTGCTACTTGGGACTGGGCTTGAATGGGCTCGGCTACCGCGATGCAATTTGGGTTTCTTGTCGACATGGTTTGGCCGATGGAGAGGATTGAGGACTAAGGAAGGAAAAAGGAGTCATGGTCATGGCGTTATGAAAGATGGATGAGATAGATTAGCATGACTCGAGCGAATTGACACGAACCCAAATTTATTTAATTCGTGTTTCAGTCCATCTGCTGTCTTTCTTTGCCTTGGATGTTTGCATCCCTTCTCACTGCCTCCTTTCCAACAAACAACAACAATATCCTCCCGCGTGATGCCTAGATTTCATTGATACCAAACACCATAACCTCCAATCGCAGTCTTCCAAGAAGAAATTGAACAAACTGTCGTCCAACGTCCGACGCTTCGGCCCGTCCAACCCCACCCACAAACCCCTGAGCCGGACAATCCCGGGGCCAATGGAATGTCATGTCAGAGACAGCAGCAGTAATAGAGCAAATACCAAGCTTTGGCGATAGAATTCATGCGAATTACCATTCCAATAAAAGCGCAACAGCAGAGGATTCTATCTTGCCCAATCATCCAGTTATCCTGCAGATGAGTCGAACGATGGCGTTCTTGGCGATAACGCAATTGGTTTACATGTATTTTCGATCCTGCGTATTAACTTATATGAACCCGTGGAACTAAGACGGCAGATTTCACTGCAAGAAATATCTATATTGGTCTTCATTTCTTCGAAACACTCTTGGCACCGCAATGCAACAGAATCGTCGTCAGCCCATCCATGCAGTACAGCTTGACAACTCACCAGGAACCTCTCGAAGTTCACCAGACCTGACTTCTGCAAGCGGGTAAGCTGACGAGGTCCTTTACTTGAGTCACCAAAACTCCCCTGACTTCACATATTGGCTGAATTAGAGAGCTAGGATACCCATTCACCTCAGTTCCCTTTACGTGTCGCTTTGGGCTTCAATGCACCCCATCACACTCCCCATACCTAATCTCAAACCTAGATGACAACTCCAAAATGTCTCTCACGCAAATCTCATCAATAAAGTACGCCCTCGTCATACAAGGCAAGTCTAGCCCCGTCAACCCACCAGCTCCAAGACATTCCCAGCTTGAAACCTCAACGTCATCTTCTGAGCAAACACCAAGATGGTACCACATGTAACAGTAGGAATTAGATCATCTCACCTACGTAATGTTCATATCGATTTACCACACACATAGTCCAGTCCAAGTGAAAAGCAAGAGAAAAAAAAAGGACCGGCCAGTCCCCCCCAATGTTCCCACACAGTTCCGGCACTAAAAGCCCATTGATCAGCGCTGCTCCATGACATCAACCACTCCAAGCTCCCCTGAACAGAATCCATGACGATGAATTATTTCATAATCACATTTCCAGAATATATCACACTGTGAATGCAACCGGCATCATCCTCTAACCTATTGAAAATCCCAAACCTCAAATGCCAACGAGATCACCATCCCACACCCCAACTCCTCGTATACTGCTACCAATCCCGTCACGCACGCAAACTTCCTACATCTACTCCCCATCAAACACCGAAAAGATCTCCCACATCTCACAAGTATTGAGAATTGAAACTTACCCCTCCTCCCACAACATCACCCCCCCTTCCATCCCATCTCGATCTCCATATCACACTCCCCTACGACAAGCAAACACCCCAAGCCCTGCTCTTACATCCCCAAAAACCTCATCCCATTAATCCCTCACCACGACACAGCACAAACATACCCTTCGTGAAACACCTCTTATCGGAATAAAAGATCCCTCATCCAGCTTCCCTCCCAACCCCAAACAACAGTGCTCAGCCGCTTATCCCGTCACACAAAACAACAACCACTTGCTAAAACATGTTACCGTTACCCAACACAACCCAAGCAAGACATTTACCGAAAGGAATCAACGAAAAAGAAGAAGAAGAAAAAAAGGCTCTCTCTACTTTTGTCCCCCCGGAAAGCGGCGAGCTCGGCAACATGTCATTCCTCACATGAGGCGTGTCGCACAAGCAATGCCCGTTTTATACCGCACCGCAGGTCTTACCGTCGTACAAACAATCTCATCCTTCCGACATTCGTTCATTTGCGCCATCGCATGCATCTTCCTCGTGGCACAGATTATACACAATGGTTTAACATGTACTACATTATGGTATTCTATGGAGCAGTCGTAAATACATTGGCAGAAACCCATGCATGGCCGCCACGTGTAAGCAAGAGATGTATCGTATATGTCTACCAATCTTTGCACCATGGCATGACTGAACAGCTCGTATATCCACGAGGTGTATGTAAAAATGAATCAGAGAAAGCGGGCGCGCCATCCTCAATGATGAAGCATCATGGGCTTCATATCGGTCAAAGACGAGAAGCCTATCTGGTATCCGCATGAATCCCCAGCCTGTTATGCACCGAAAGCAATGGTATCCTAAGCGATGAAATCGTACAGCCTAGTTACGTTTTGATGTCAGCGACAAAATGTTATTCGAACCTGCTCTGAAGAAGCCTAGAGGTATATAGAGACGTACAGTTCAAAATTAGGCAAAGCAATATGAGCAACCGTAAAAAAGGAGCAAGAAACCTAGACTATAAACCATGGGAGGAACGGTCGTTTCCTCGTACCTTCACTCAGGCTCTACACCCGTTGGCCCTACCGCCGCGGTGCCCCAGAGCGAGTGACGAAGAAGGGATGCTTGAGGGCGTCCGCCGGCTTGAGCCTCTTGTCCGGATTCAGCGCCAGACAATGATCCAACAGGTCGATGAAGTGGTTGAGCTCTCTGCTTTCTGCGTCATTCATACCACCCGAGGCAGCAAGGAGTCGAGTGCGTAAATCTCGTGTCGGCTTGACAATGTTGATGGTTCGTAGTGCCGTCTTGCCTAGTACCTTGTCGCGCTCAACGCTGACAAACTGTCCCTGGTCGTCGAAATGGGCAGCCGATAGCTGACCTCGTTTATACAGTTTCGGCGTGATTCGACCACGAATCTCCATGATGGTTTTGAGCATCTGATTATTGCTGTCTCCGGTGAAGAGAATCTTGCCCGTATAGAGCTCGTACAGGGTGCAGCCTATAGACCACATGTCTACGCCGTAGTCATAGGGCATGCCTAGAATGATCTCCGGAGCTCTGTAGAAGCGGCTCACAAGGTAGGGGGTGATTTCCGTATGCGCAGTTGCAGCATCAGAACGATCGATTGCCGTTCCCAGATCGCAAATCTTGAGTATATTTCGAGTCTCGCTGACCTAGAGTATTGCCCCCAAGTCAGTCATGAATCGCTTAAAAAGGAAGACAAGATAAAAGAGTCTCACTTACCAAGATATTGTCAGGCTTCAAATCAGCGTGGATGATGCTGCATTTGCGCATGTGAGCCAGCGCGACAAAGCACTGGTACGCATATGCCTTTGTCGCTTTCAAGTTGATGCCTACGTTGTTGCCGAATTTACGCAAGACTTCGCGCAAATTCATGCTCAGATTCTCAAAGGCCATGCAAAGATGGCCGCGATGGTCAAAGGACCGCTCAAACTTGACAATGTGCCGTTTGTTTTCGGGGTCAGCGTCATTGAGCTTCTGAAGAATGGCAATTTCCGTATAGCCTCCTTTGCGAAGGGCATCGTTGTTCCGCATCATCTTGATGGCGACGAGCTGTTTGGTAGTGATGTCAACGGCGCGTGCGACTCCTGAGAACATACCCCTGCCAAGCGTGGCCTGGACCTGGTAACGACCGTTGAGAACTTCGCCAATACGGATCTTGTAATAACCGTCCTTGTCATCGCCTTCGAGAATGCCTCCCTTATCAACTGCTTCCGCTGCATCTGTTGCTTCGTCGGGCGCTGCCGTTTCAGTGACCTGGGCCTTGCTTGCGTACTTTTCCTCGTCGAAATCTTCTGCAAACATGTCAAAGTCATCATCCTCGTCTCCTTCGCCTGCGGATGGGTTCTGTGGCGGCGCGCTGGGCGCTTCATTGGCAGGGTTCTGCTCAATCGCCGCCGCAGGCTCAGGTTCGCCGTGGATGACGACTTGACCATGACGCAGTTCATCTCTGCGTCCATCTTCCATCATGTCGACGGTAGGGTCGTAATCGGCAGCAGAGGGGCCGTCTTCGTCGTCGGCTTTGGCTGCCGCGTGTGAGTTTACGAGATCTTTGCCGTCAAAGAGATCCATTGCTCCGGGAGACGGGACATCGTGTGATAGAGGCGACCCGGGCGAGGCAAAGTCTATTAAGTTAGTCGTTGTTGACAAGTGAGGGTTAGGACGAGGCCTACTTGAACGCGGAGACTGAGACAATTTGCTATCTGACCGCTGAGATACCTGCGGTGTGTCGGATTGAAAAGAGGCGGGCGATAATGCTTGAGCTTTGGAAGTGGCAGCTCCGACAGCGTGAAGGAGGAGAGGCGTTGCAGAGCTTGATTTGGCCATGAGCTCCTCGCGCCTCTTGCGGCGGCGTTCGATCTCTGCTTCCTCGTCAAATTCTTGAGGCTCCTCGTAGTCATCCAGCATTGGAACATCCCTGCTCTTTTGTGTTAGCGTTTGTATTGCAAGAGATGAAAGCATTCCACCCACTTCGAAGTAGCTGTACCAGCAGAATCACCGTTTTCAGTAGTGTCCTTGTCAGATTTTTTAGCATGACCTTTCAGTGCCTGGTTTGAATCTCCTACGGAGGCTTTCCTAGCTGCATAATTGTTGCCTCGAGCGCCGACGTCGGCGTCATCGTAACGCAATTCCCGTGAGTCGTGCCGGTCAGAGTAGCCCTCTCGGACGAATCGATCACCAGCTCGCTTGTCTCCCCGACGGTATTGGCGAGGGGAAGGGCTTCGAGGGCGAGGCGACGGACGTTCAGAATATCGGTCTCGGCCGCGGTGGTATCGATCCCGGTCGCGACTCCGATCTCGCTCTCGGTCCCTACGACTGCGCCAGTCGTAGCCTTGGTTCGAATTGCGTGCCGCAGGGCGGTCGAGATCGTCATAAGCGACGCGCGATCTTTTGGGGCCATCCCTCCTGTAGTCGTCGTACGCGCCGCGATCATGGCGAGGATCTTGATCTCGGGCTCTGGCAGGAGGGAACTGATCCCTATCATCGCGCGACCGCTTGTAGCCTCGCGGTGGCGAGCGGCTTCGTCGTGACGAGTTGCTGTGTCTGGAAGTCGTATCGAGGTCGGGCGAGGAATGTCTATTCCGCTGTCTATCTTGACGGTCAACACCGTTTCTCTCTGCGTGCGACAGTGAAGTTGCCTTCAAATCTCCAGCTCTCTGCTCAACAATTTCACCCTCATCGGAGCTTGACGTCATCTTGAGGCCCTTTATTTATTATTCTGCCACCGAACCTCTGACGGGGCTCCCTTTCAGTGTCGAACAGAAAACGCGTCAGTAATGGACCAAGGCAACGGGTGTGTGTGGCAGGCAAAGAGTCCAACCAGGTCAACGTTTTGACTCGTCCCAAGTGCAGGCAGCGCAGCACGATAGCCTCGAGGAGGAAGGCGGGGGATAGTTTTGGGGGGAGTTGGACAATGTTGGAAGCGTGAAGTAGAAGGAGAATAGATGACTGGAATGACGCGGTCAGAAAGGAAATCACGAAGCGTCAGCCAGTCGATGGTGAGATGTCGAGTGACGGCGAAAGTGTCGAGATGATGGCAAATGGGTTTCAGATTCGGATTCGCTGCAGACCGGATTTTGGAGGGTCTGGTCGTCTTCAGCCTAGCGCAGGGTGACTAAGCAACGTGCAGCAGCCTGACCCTGCAGGACAATCAGCCTTGGAGGCCTTTTCTGCCAGCCACCACCGACTTTGTCCAAGCAATCTCTCTCTCTTTGTTCGAGTTGCTCGTACACTCAACACTGCATCTTACACTACATTTCTCTCTACAGCAAATTCACCATGGGTGGTTCCAACCGAGAAGGTGATTTCCCCTCATCCTGCCATCTGCGGCCCCCGCCAAACTGCCCTCCGTGAATGTTGAGACTGACGGTTGAAATTTCTAGGCGGCAAGGCCAAGCCCTTGAAGGCCCCGAAGAAGCAGAACAAGGACCTCGACGATGATGACTTGGCTTACCTCGAGAAGAAGAAGGCCGGTACGACTCTCCCGACATCCGACCAACCGCTGCGAGAGCGAAGCGACAACGACGGACTGACTGTTTGCAGATGAGAAGGCGCGCAAGGAGATGGCGGCCAAGGCGGGTGGCAAGGGACCTCTGAACACCGGTACCCAGGGCATCAAGAAGAGCGGCAAGAAATAAACGATGGAAGACGAAAGCGATGCGTTATTGAGAACATGACTTGGGACTGCTACTTGCAGCAGGCGACGTTACGGAAAGCCGCAGCAGGTGATTTTTCGTGGCGACGTCTGTTGGATCAGGCTGAAAGGCAGCATCTGCGCTTTGGGACAAGGTCTGTAGACTGTGCGGCGAATATCACTAGGCGTTAGGAAATACACTTTTTGTTCTTGTACTATCTGGACTGCACGGTGGCAGATGCAGGCGAGGCATACTGCGCTTATACCTGATACATGAAGTGCCACTGACTCGCCGTATGGAAGCGATGTTATAAAGTTAAATGCAATACTGCCCCAGAAAATAGCAGGCTACCTAAGGTAGGTACGATATGATGGCTATGTGTACATGTATTTTCTCCTCAGGAGGTGGGTATTGAAGGTTTTATGTCATCCCGCATCTGCGTGCTAATAAATCTGAGGATACATATTATACCGGGGCCGGCATTCAGCAGCGAAAAGCGGCATCACATGCCGGCAACGGCCCATAGCCAAGACAACACCTACTATGCAGTATACCAATATCACATGCCATGAGAAATGCACAGCGTATCAATCTCCTAGAACCAGAACAATCCCATCAAATCATCAAGAGATTTCTCCTTCTAGCGCATGCGCTACCGGTCCCAAAGCCTTGAACTCAGTCCACGCAATCATTCGAGTGCCGAGCCCCAACCATTCCACCAAAAAGGTCCACTCACGCCGGAGCAGCTCGCATTCGAAGGCGAAACCCCAACAACTTACACGTTCTCTCTCTCGCCCAACATGAGCATGAAAAATATTCATTAAATAAATCATATTTCTTCCATCCAAATCATATAATAAACATTGTAAATTAGAAACCACCATGGTCTAACAGGAGAAGAAGAAGAAGAAGAAAAAAAACAGAAAAAGAAAGCATCAAAATGGCCTCGGATCCGTCCCTCCGCCAGCGCCGGCCCTCCGTCTCCGAATCCCTCCTCACAACCATCAAGCAAGCCGAGCGCAAAGTCGAGCAAAAGCTCCTCCTCCTCTGGGACGACCTCCCCCCCTGGCGCCGCGACAACGCCTTCATCCGCTCCGGCTACCGCCCCATCCGCCCCTCCTACGCCGAGTCCGCCCGCTCGCTCTTCTACCTGCACAACGAGTCCGTCAACATCTGGTCGCACCTCGCCGGCGCCGTCATCACCATTCTCACCGCCCTGTACGTCTACGTCGTTGTTCGCCCGCGCTATGAGGCCGCCAACTCGTCCGACGTGCTCGTCTTTGCGTGCTTCTTTGGGAGCGCCGTCGTGTGTTTGGGCATGAGCGCTACGTATCACGCCTTGACGGATCACAGCCAGGAGGTCGCCAAGTGGGGGAACAAGCTCGATTACACGGGCATCGTGGCATTGATTGTGGGAAGTTATGTGCCGGCGCTATATTATGGCTTCTTCTGCCATCCGATCCTGATGGCCGAGTATCTAAACCTGGTGAGTTTGAGAGAGCCAGGGGTGTGCATGTGACAAAACGAAAGTGTCTAATGACTTTTGGGCAGATATGTCTTCTTGGTATCGGATGTGTCGTCGTATCCTGGGTTGAAAGGTTCAGGACGCCCGCTTGGAGGCCCTACCGCGCTCTCATGTTTGTCAGTCTGGGCCTTTCCGGCATCATCCCAATCGGCCACGGGCTGCTCAAGTTTGGCTATCGGGCCCTCGAGGATAGAATGAGCCTGAGCTGGGTCGTTTTGCATGGCTTCATGTATATATTCGGCGCATTTCTCTACGCGGTTTGTTCCCTTACCCAACACAAACATACAACCATGGCCGTTATGCTTTCTAACACATGCCTTCATACAGATTCGCTGGCCAGAGAGGAGCAACCCTGGCGCGTTCGACATCTGGGGCCACTCCCATCAGATCTTCCACATGTTTGTTGTGCTCGCAGCAGCCACTCATTTCTACGGCATGGCCAAGGCGTTTGATCATCACCATGAGGGCATGGGCTCGCAGTGCCTATCATAGATGATACCCGTAGAATACCAAGGCAGAACATTGGTGCACATGTACATAGGTATACACATATATCATGACTTAGACGGGGCTACATACTACTCTTACACTTACAAAGCGCCTTCTTTTCGCCGAATACATCATGGCGAATCACGCCGTGCCCTCGGGGTATTTCTCCAGTCCCAAATCAATTACTCTTACAAGGCCCGATCCCATGGCCACCGCTGCCCAACACCCATAGTCCAGGTTTGGATTCCACTCAATGGTGGTGATTCTCGTCAGTGGCTCGTGCAGAGTAGCTCGGGATGGGTCCGTCAAATCGCCAGCTTCATCATCGTCCTCTTCCCCTTCCCCCTCCTGTCCCTCCGCGCCTTCAGCCGGCTCCTTGGCTCGCAACTTCTTGCCCTTCTTTGCAGTGGGCTTAGCCTCGGGCTTCGAGTTTCTGTTCCTGTCTACTGTGAAGCCGTGCAAGACACGACAGACGCCTCGAGCAGCAGCTGGAGAGTCAGGAGGGAACAGACGTCCCGGCCGGTGTTCGTGCTGCAACACCCGTATCTTGTCTGTCGATTCATGCCGGTTGCTGAAGACCTCGGTCTGCGAGTTGAGGCACCACAGGGAGCCATCCGTTGCGCCAATGAGCAGAAAGGGGTGCAGCTTTCCCACGGCCAAGGACGTGAGAAAACTATCCCCTGTGAATACCCTCCGGCAAACGGGAAAATGTGCGTGGTGTAAGAATCCAATAATCGTGTTGAGCGCACTAGCAGACGGATAAATGGACAAGAAGCCAAGAAGATGGTCACTGTAAGTTAGTAGTCCCGGCTGCGTATGCACCAACGGTCTCTGGGCTTCAGTGGTTTCGTAGCTCGGAGCCTGAAGATCAATAACTCGGGCTGTGCCGCCCACGGGGATTGAGGCAATAATGGTTGGCATAGTAGGATACCCCGATACCATGTCTATGATGTCGTTGTGATGAACTGGATGTCGAGACAAGAGGCGTTGTGGATGGATGGACCAGAGCGCAATAGACCCGTCAGAATAGCCGATAGCCATTCGATTGCAGTTGATCCACGCCACTGCAGTCGCTTTGATGCCGTACTCGTCGAGTAAGCTGAGTACTGCAAGTGGTTTCTGTAATCTGTCTGCTGTTTTATTAGCCAAGGGGGCGTCTCAAACAATGCAAGTGTCCTAGCTGAGCTTACAGTAGAGGCCCTCTTCTTCGCCGTCGAGATCGCCAGCATCAGCAATGTACACACTGCCCTCGCCGCAAAGAAGTGCGACATGATTGCACGAGGGGCTCCATCTGACTCTTCTGATCCTTCCGTAGTCCACACACAGCGTCTTGCGCAGTTTCGCTGGCTCGCTCGACGGTCGAATAAACTGCTCGTCTGTCTTGGCGCTCCGAAATTCCCAAATCTGAATGACTCCTTGTTTCTGGAAATCCGGCTTCACGGATTCCTCCTCGTAATTGTACATGTCCTGATCGGATTGAGGTATGATTGCCAGAGCAAGCAGCTGCTTGGGGTTCTTGTCTCGTCGAGGCGCCCAATCCATGCTCAAAACAAGGCCGCCCACATCTAGCATCCATCCACTCTCCACCTTGTCACCATCTTTGTCTTGGTCAAATGGTATATTGCTCTGTGACATAGACTGGCAGTGTCCGGGCTCCATTGGTATCTCCAGCTGCGTCTCGTGCGGGCCCGTTAAAACCGGCATGCTCAGCTGCGGAAATCGATACATCTCGGTCTCTGGAAAAGATATTTCTGACCAAGCACCGTCGGAGGGCAGCGCCCTGATCAGTTGCGTGTGCCACTGTTTAGCAAGTCGAGCTTCGTTGTCGAAGCCACCGGGATGCCAAAAGCCCTTGTCCGTCGGTTCGTCCTCGTCCTGCGGCACCTTTGGGGGAAATATCGTCCACCCGCTCCACCTCTCCAGCAGCTCGTGAGCCATTGATATTCTCTCAGGACTGGGTCCGTACAAGGTTCTCACAAGGGCTTTGCCGCGCATGCCTCGCTCATAAGGCCCGACATAGCCCTTGTGCTGACCCTCGGGAGGAATAAGTTCAATGTCCAGATACCCGGTCACCACCATTTCGCCTACATCCCATGACTTCGTAGGCCGTGTCTGCTTTGGCTGCCTGCTCTGTTTGGAGCGCTGACGGGAAGGCTTCTCGGCTCCGTTTATGTCGCTGCCGCTGTCATTCATCTGCGCGTCATCGTCATCGACATCTTCTTCCTCTTCCTCTCCCGCACTTTGCTCCTCAGCGGCCGCGTCGAAATTGTCATCATTGTCATCTGCGGGTTTGCGACGCCTTTGGGGCTGTTCTTCATCCTCAGAGCTAAGGAAATCGTACTTGTCGAGAGTATAATGTTTTGTCCGATTCGATCTTCTGGTTCTCATTGTGCGTCGCGAGTGAGAGAGGATTCATGCAAGTTTTGAGTCTTGAGTCTGAGTACCAGAGCTTGGTGGAGCCGAGAATGCAAAAAGTATACATTCCTTTGGTAGCCAGCTGGCAGGCAAGAATTAGCCTCGCAAAGTACCAGGAAAATTTACACGTCATAAGTTCATCGATGGTTATTTAAATTTTTTCCCCTCGTATTTTTTGATTCAGAGATTAGAATTTTGTATCCAGACATACAGGATATATCGTTACATGCAGGTCGATGGCTTTGGTCTCCCACTCTAGTCATTTATATGAAGAGAGAATGGCCGAGGATTATCCAGCCACTCCTACCACTCTATTCGCTTTAACTCATTTGCTCATCTCATCTCACACCAGACACATGTACAGAACCATGCGATCATTGAGCTCATCAACATTTAATCTCCAATACCTTGATTATTCCACCATCAGTCATATATAATGAGCGAACAACAGAGCAGTCCTGCACAGGATCAAGGCCACAGAAGAAATAAGCCATCTATAACTCGGTGTATGTGCTGCATTTTGAAGCCCAGGTTCAGCGAGCTTTATAGCTGCCCCTCCATCACTGCCAACGAAGCGACATGTGGATGAGAACATGCACTACAGATGCTGACATTCACATACAGCAACAAGGCCAAGGTCCTCTACCAAGGGACCTCTGGATGCCGACAAGTCAGTTTGCAAATGAGCATGACCAAATTCTCTGTCTAACGGCCTGTTAGTGGACTGTTGACATCTCCAACGGCCTCAGCCTCTCAGCTCAGCCCGTCTCTCCAGCCGCCATCACCATCTTCTTCAGCCAACAACACAACACAGCCTCGGCCTCCGCCGTCTCCGACTCCTCAGCTGGGAGAGGCGAGACCCAAGGATTTCACATTCCTCTTGCAGCCCGAGATCTACCATCCCCTAAACGTACAAAACGTCCCTCCTGCATTCCGAAACTCACCAAAGCAGCCCAACTCGGAGACGCCGATAGACGAGCTGCTAGCCAAAGGCCACTTTCGAGCCGCAGCCATTGCGGCAGCTCAAGAGCTAACAGGGTCAACGATAAACGGCACTAGTATCGATCCTCAAGATGCCAGCAGGATCTTTGGGCTTCTGTATACCCGACTCGCGTGTCTCACCCTGATCGATGCTACTTCACTTGCAGCCCAGGAAGCCAAAGCGCTGGAGGATTTGAATGATGCCTCCAGATACATTGACGATGATACGAATGAGCATCTTGTGCCGTGGGAGCTGCGCGTGCTGCACGTGCGATTGCAAGCTTTGGGCTTTGGAGATCCCCGCCGAGCCGTCATGAGCTACCATGATCTTGCCAGAGAGGCAAGGGATCACATCAGAAAAGCATCTTCATCACATGATAACTCTGCTAGAGAACTGTGGAAGTCACGTCTCCATGAGCTGGGCATCAAAGTCGCCGGTGCCTTGATTGAGATGGACGATCTCTCTGGCGCGGCGCACCATCTGAATAGTCTAAGAGACCGGGGCGATGGTAAGCTGGCGCTATCCAAAGCGCTGCTGTGGCTGCATCTCGGCGATATAGGGAATGCAAAGTCTTGTGCAAGCCAGTGCTCTGAGCATACCGAGAACGTCGAGAAGCTCATTCTGGCCTTGTGTGACATGGCGGATTCCAACTATGAGGCGGCGTTGCAGAGGTGGCAAGAGTTTGACATAACAGTGACAGATGAGATGATTGGCGTAAACCAGGCCGTGTGCCTAATCTACCTTGGGCGGATTCAAGAGGTGAGTATATATACCATTCACGCATTGCGATTGTGGAGATGCAGTTGTATTGACCATGGTTCATAGGGGCGAAATATACTTGAGAAGCTAGTTGACTCGGGACTGTCATCGCATACCTTGCTATTCAATCTCTCGACGACATACGAACTCTGCTCGGAAAGGAACCGGATTTTGAAGGGGAGGCTTACGGAGAAGGTGGCCAACATGGAGCAATCACCATTTGGGTGGGAGAAGACGAATGCCGATTTTAAGCTTTGAAGAATGAACAATTGTTTTGATAGAAGACTCTGCCAGCCAAGCATAGACTTGCAATCAAACGCTTCAATAAATAATATATTGAAGATATCTTAATCTGGAGAATAAAGGAATCGGCTACTGTTGGGAGTTGCAACTATCAAGGTTCTCTAGATCATCACGAAAGTACTAATGTGAGCAACTTGTTCTATTATAAGACAACACTCTTGCATTCCACACGACAGCACTCAATAAAGTGCATCATGCAATGGTAATAACAATATAATGCAGTATAATTGGCAGTAAATGAGCTGAAGAAACAATTCATCCATCGAAGCTACCGGGTATCCCAACACTACCCCACACTGGGGCCGTCCCCCATTTCCCAATCCAGCCCAGCGACCCGCGGAACCGAACCTCGGCACATCAAAGGATATAACCATCTGAGCTACCTTGTATAACACCACATCCATTCTCATCCATCATCTTACACAAATCTCATCCTTCAAACGCTTCAATCAAACTCCCCAAAATGTCAGACAGAGTCTCCCAGGTCGTCGGCCACCTCAACTACCCCAAAGGCCTCCTCGCCAACCAAACCGCCATCATCACCGGCGCCGGCCAAGGCATCGGCGCCGAAGCAGCCATCCTCTTCGCCAACGAAGGCGCAAAAGTCGTCGTCGCAGACATTGACGCCAGTACGTAGTTGTATCTCCATCTTCCACCGTGAGAGAAAAAACCAAGCCTCATCCATTGATTGATACGAACCCCCCCGTAGAGAAAAGCAACGAGGTAGTAGAATCCATCCGCAAAACCGGCGGCCAAGCCATCTCCGTCCCAGGCGATGTCCTCGACCCGGCATACATCAAAACCCTCATCTCCAAGGCCGCCGAGTTCGGCAACGGCAAGATCCACATCCTCGTCGCCTCGGCGGGCTACACCTACGACGGCGTCATCCACAAGATGACGGACAGGCAGTGGGAGACCATGATCGCCCTGCACTGCACCGCGCCCTTCAACATGGTGCGCGAGGCCGCGCCGTACTTCCGCGTCAAGGACGGCGAGCCGCGCAACATCATCACCGTCTCGTCCACGTCCGGCATCCATGGCAACGCCGGCCAGATCAACTACGCGCTGGCCAAGTCTGGCCTCGTCGGCTTCACAAAGACCATTGCAAAGGAATGGGGCCCGCAGTTTGGCGTCCGGGCCAACGCCGTTGCCTTTGGCTACATCCAGACTCGTCTGACGGCGGCCAAGGAGGACGGCGGCTTTGTGGTCGGGCCTGACGGCGAAAAGATTGCCATTGGCGTCCCGGGGAGAAAGCCTGGTGCTGCTGGTCCTTCGGATATTCCGCTGGGCCGGCCGGGCACTGCCAAGGAGGCGGCGAGCTCTATCCTGGCCGTGGCGAGTCCGTTGTTCTCGTACGTAACAGGGCAGACCATCATGGTGACAGGTGGTAGGAACATGTAGTCTGCGAAAGCGACAGAGATTAATGTAATGATGATGTTGTAAATATGACCGCTGAATGCTGTACGAACATGACAAGGGAATATAAAAAATGGCAATTGGTATATTGAATTAATTGTGAGGCGGAATTTTGTACTCTTTCCCGCCATATCAACGCCGACCCACCCCCATTCTGAACAACTCGTGTAAATTCATCCTTGACTTCGTCCGTTTTGATCTTGTCCCCTTTCCATCTATACCTCTCTGCTTAGACCTTGAGCCACAGGGAAAACACTCCCTTGGCGTACTCGACAATCTCGTCACCACCCAGCTTGCTCTCGCCGTACACTCGGTCCACGAAAGAAATGGGCACCTCGGCGACGGTGCAGCCCATGGCCTTGGCGCGAACCATCATCTCCATCTGGAACGTGTATCCCTTGCTCTCGGTGCTCGCAATGACCTTTTCCAGAACGCTCTTCTTGTAAAGGCGAAAGCTGCCCGTGAGGTCGCTGACGCCCGGCCGCAGCACGGTGTCGGCAAACAGGTTGGCGCCGCGGCTGACAAACTTGCGCTTCAGGTCCCAGCCAAAGACGCCGCCGTTGCCAGCGTAGCGCGTGCCGGTGACGATATCGTAGCCGCCCTTCTTCTGCAGGGCAATCATCTCGGGGATGAACTTGGGGTGGTGGCTGAAGTCGGCGTCCATGATGATGACAAAGTTGCCCGTGACAAACTGCAGGCCGTGGACGTAGGCCGTTCCGAGACCCAGCTTGCCGGATCGAGTCTTGAGGACGACGTGGGGGGCGTAGGCCTTGACGAGCTGGTTGGCCACGTCTTGGGTTCCGTCGGGTGAGCCGTCGTCGACGATGATGAGTTCCCAATCCAGTTGGCTAGAGGGGGGAAAAAAAGCAAGAATTGTCAGTATCGAACATGATCCTTGGGTATGGTTTAAGAGGGGGGCGGAAGAGAACGGCCCTACTTCTCTGTAAAGGTGCGGTTCAGCAGCCAGGCCACGATGGGGAGGTTCTTCCTCTCATTGTACGTCGGCAGAATGACGGAGAACTTGTCCTTGGAGCTCTTTGTGGGGGCCATTGTGTGAGTTGCTGTTGCAGGAAAGAAGCGCGTAATTGGCGATAAAGGAGTGTGCTGAAGTTGGGATTTCGCGTCTTTGCAGCTTCAATATTCAATGATGGTTGTCCTTGGGCAAGCTGGCGTCTGGTCGAAAAGGTGGCAGTTAGGGGGTCACCGGCGGCCGAGGATGACTAAGCATGGAGGTGGCATTTCAGGTATTCTGGCAGCATAGAGACTCTCATCACAGCGCATTTGAGGTAAGAAAGATGTTGGAAAATGGAGCATATTGGAAATTTTGGTATTTGGAGATGTTGAGAATGGAATAGGGACAAGTGAACAATGAAGCATAGGTAGGTAGAGAGTGGAAAGGCCGGGGTCGGTACGGGTCAAAGCATTGAACATCGGGAAAGGATCTGAGGCGCTGGCCGAGAATCTACAGCGCAGGTACCTCGCCTGGAGACGTCTTGAATCTTGTTGCGCATTTGAAGCCAGACTGAAAATCGTCAATCATGTGTATAATAATGATGTCAAGATGGTTCAAGGGGAAGAGGGAGATGATGGATGCAGATTGTGCACGTGCATGGTGCGTCGACGTTGCATTGAATACAAGCAGCCAATCTTCAAGCATGCCAACAAGCTGCCGTGTCGCTGCAGCACTTGATATCAATCTTCTTCATCGAGCATTGGCGATGTAAAGCAAATCTAATTCGCAAATAACGCGTCTAGCCATCAACCATATTTTCCACATCAAAAGCATCATACTACTTCTCCTCGTCATGCAGAATTGACGGTGAGCCCCCCAACCTCCAAACCTCCGATCTCCCCGCCTCCTCCTCCGCCAGATGCATCCCCATTCCAGGCACGCTCCAATAAGCACCTCCCACCCTACCAACCTCGCTAAAAGGCAAAAAAAAAAAAAAAAAAAAAAAAAAAGCAACAAGAAGCCAAACAGACGTGCATTGCATCGGTACATGATCGGTTGCCGCCCCGCCGTCGACGTCGTGACTGGACGAATCCGGAGCTGAAGGGGCCTCTCGGTGGCGTCCTTGTCCATCCATGCATGTAACTTTAGTAGTAGCCAATGTTAATGCTGCTGCAAGCTTCTTCCCCGCAAGAGTTGCTCGTTTCAACCCACGGTCCCGATGGCGACAATTCACACCGTCCTGGGCTTCGCTTCCCCTTCAGCCGGCTTCCCTCCCAAGCACTGTGCCCGCCCTCACCTTTTTTCTCCTCTCTCGTGACGGATCTTGCCTTGTCTGACTGCTTGCTTTGCCTTTTTCCCTTACAGAAAACGTAATGTAGACGGTACCCACACGGCGCCGCCGGCATGGCCTTTTCCTTGCTCCTCTTGGCCCCCCCATGCCATGCCATGCCATGCCATGCCTTAACCATCCATGGCTTCAACGGAACGGCAAAAAGCAAAACAGGTTCCCTGCCACGGTAAACTGGCGGGCGCGCGACTTCATCTCGGATCAATTAGATGTTACCAGCCCAGCGTCCATGTACATGTAGTAATCGCCCATCTGTGGAACCGCGGGTGAAGCTGGACTACCACTGCTTCTGCTTCTGCTTCTGCTTCGACCGTCATTCTTCCTCTCTTGCTTCCCTCCTCCCTCAATCCCATCGCCCTCTCCCGCCCCTTCATCGGCAACCAGCCAATGCTCCTGTCCTCTGCTTGCAAGCGCGCATCTCCTCCACCAGCTTCATCTGCGTCTTGCCCGGCCTTCTGATTCCAGCCTCCAAGCTGCCATTGCGCGCGACGCCCGTCCGGATCCTTACGTCATCAACCTCGTATATCATGTCTGACGGCATTGCTCCAGCTGTTGACAAAGGTAATTGCTGCCATGGAAGTTGTTGCGCGCGACTCTCCAATTGATGTTTATCCGTGCCATTGAAACCACCACATGCTCCTCCCTTGATCGTGCTCCCTAAAGCCCCGTCGCGTCCCAAAGTGTTGACAAAGGCATCCTGCTGACTCGGACCTCCATCAAAATAGTCGGTCCGCCTGAGCCCACAGCTCCCGAAGCTCAAGCTGGAGCTCCGACCTTGGCCATGGACGCGGACACTGCCAAGCCAGAAGCCTCTGTCAATCTCCCAACTTCTCTTGAGAAGCCCAAAGAGCCCCCCATCATTGCTGAGACCAAAGCTCCCGAGGAGGCAAAGCCGACGGAGGAGCCTCTCTCCATCGCTGATGCCTTTAAGCTGGCTCATAAAACCCCGCGGCCCGTCGAAGTCCAGTCCGTCCCCGAGACTCCCGTCAATCTGGCGACGCCCGTGAATGGGTCACCACGGCCGGAGCTGAACATCCCCACTGAGCCACAAGAGCCCGAGAAGCCGCAGGAAGAGCCCGTCATCATCACCGAGGCCGAAGAGCCGCTGCCAACTCCCACGGCTTCCGCCCCCGGCAGTGATGTCGGCCCCGACTCCATTGCTGACAAGCCCGTGACTCCAAATGGCGAATCGAAGCCGGTCGAGCTGATGGCCGGCGCTCTTCAGACCAGCGCCGCAGACGCCAAGTCCGAGACGTCGGAAACGGCCACCGGCGAGAAGCGCAAGGCCGACGCGACTGCGACTGACGAGCCAGCCGCCGAAAAGGAAGAGTCTGAAGACAGCGAGCCCGCGGACAAAAAGGCCAAGATTGACAACGGCAACGGCAACGGCAAAGCGACCAATGGCGGACCCCGGAAGCCGGGCCGCCCCAAGAAGGACAAGAAGGCTGCTCCCGTCGTGGGCAAGACCTTGCGCAAGACTCGGAGTCAGGGACCCGTGGAGATTTAAATTAAAGGCGAAAACAGGCTGAGAAAAAGCAACTCTTTTTGCCCAAGCCCTTTCCTTTTCTCTCTCTCTTCATCTTCATTCTTATCAATTCTTTCCCCAAGGCGAAACGGCTCGCTTTTGATTGATGGGGGTGCTGGTTTCTTCTTCTGGTTCATCGCTGTATATTGTTCCCCACGCAAAAATCTTGTGCCAAAATGGATGATTGGTATGACTTACCTGTTGGGTATACCTATATCATTGGCAGGCTTCCTTGTTTGTTTCATTTTCTCGGTAGTTTTTCAATGATAATGGAATATTAAAGATATAAAAAGTATAGCCAGTGATCGACTGCTGCTCGTCATGGTGGGTTGTGCATTGTACCTCGTTCTCGTATGTTGTGGGTGCAAAGTCATCTACATATAAAAGCTGACGGCTGGTCTCGTTGACATCTTGATAGGCTTCCCTTGTGTATCTAGGCGCTCGAGGTTGTCTTGTTCCATGTCTAGACCTGAAGTCGCCTGGCATGATTGCCCACCGGTAATATGTCACCACACCGGACCGACTCGGGATCTTGTCACCATCAACTGGGAGTTTCCTATGCTTAGCAACACGATCGATGTCTTGGAATAGCATTGGGTTTTAGGTATCAGATTACAGTGCTGTATCCATAACTACGGCAGGCCTGAAATGAGATTTTGTGGCCTTAGTTTCAGGAGACTCGCTCAACCGCCATTTGGTACATGATGTGGTTGGATTCTTATAGTTCTATGCTCTGTAGCGCACGGCGAGTCTTGATATGTCTAAACAGCAGCTGAACATGGGTGATGAAGTCTTTCATTGACAACCAGGATCTATGGAGTGTTGCCTTGATCTTATGGATTCCATATTGTGTTGATGCTCCTGTGTGTGGCATCTCCTCACATGGAGCCTGCTATTGATCGTACATGCACAAGTATCAGCGTACCTTGGTATGGAAATGACCAAAATATGAGACTTGGGAGATGATTCTATTTAAGGGTATCAATACGAAGGGAAAAAAAAGGAAAGCTAGAATTAAATCATCCGATGGGCTATTCTTATCTTCCTTTCACTGCCTCAGTGCACGATGTGTATGCACCTAAAACATCAGCAAGCACTCCTCAGCTGAGCTTAGAGGAAGGTCAAAGATGACTGCATACCTTAGTACCTTATTTACGCGTTCATGTGCATTACAGATGCAACGCCCACTTTAGATTCTACATCCGTTCTATACAAAGCCTCTGTTCGAGCAGTGCATCAGATATCATCATCGTCAGCTCCGGGAATAGACTCTCCCGTATCCATCTATGCCTGCACTGATGAGATGCAAGTGAGCTGAAGCATTTCAGCACTTCAGCACTCTCAAGTCCCCTGTTCTCCCCGGATATCCGGGCATTCCAGCGCTCCGTAGTGGAGTGGTTGGGCCGTTGGCACCCACCAAACGCAATGCACGGCCAGGATCGCAGATTCAGGGGGAAGAAATTCGCCGTGCCTGGAAGCGACTTTGGCTTGGATATGGATTGGACGGCAGTGGTTTCGGCGAATGACTGATTACATCACCAATGTTGGCTGTTGGCTATGGTAGACGATGCTCGTATGAGATTTGCCGGCTTCAACCTATGTGTTCTGCGCTTATCATGTCGCAATTGTCGCGAGAAATCGAATCGCATGCGTTGATGTCGCGTGACAGCGAGAGCAGTGCTTTGTTGCCATAGTTGTAACACCTCAGGCTTCTAAATAGATATTACCAAGGATGATGAGGTCCTCTAAGCTGCATGACTACCTCCATGCCCGTACATGTAGGTATCGCATGTACTACGGTGCAAGGATGGTAAGCCCCAATTTGAGCTCAACACCCGCGATAACCAGGCCGAGTACGACAAACTCGTACTGAGGATATACGCCAGGCATACGCTCGCTGCAAGAGTCGAGTTTTTCACTTCCAAGACTGCATCTAGGACCAAAGTGGCTGTATGATTCAATTGGAATGCAGAAATGGCCCCGGGCATGCCCAGGGATCGTCGCTGTCTGTGGCGAAGCACAGATCGGCTATAGCCGTCCCAACTCCTGGCCCTACCGCTAGGACCGAGTGTTTTGCGTGCTTACAGTATTTCAGCTACTACTACTCAGAGTCTGTGTGTGCTGTAATGTGTGTGTATGTGTGTGTTTTAAGCACTTGTGAGTTTACCAGAGTTCGACAGAGATTGACGGAAGCAGTATGTAAAAACCACCGATCGAGATCATGATGGGGTGGTGGTGTAAAACCCGCTGGTGGCAAAAATAGCAACTCGGGCTTTCATCCCGGCGAGGATCTCTCAAAGGGACCCCGCAGCGATGATCATTACTGCTTGAATTGATGGCTTCCGTCAGCGGTTCTCAAGAGAGGGAGAGACAGAGAGAGAGAGAGACAGAGAGAGAGAGAGAGAAGATATCTTCGTGTTTGAGGCGATAGTCGAAATGAGCTATGGGGCACGAAGCAGCATGCATGAGAGAAGCAAATACGATGATGATGCAGAGGGACGGATAAGGTAGGGCACCTACTAATGCATGCAGGTGTCCATGCATGGCGCGAAGATAAAAATACATGTCGGATGGCTATCAAGACTGGGTCGTGGCTGGCTGGTGTATTGGAATTTGAGCCATTCATTCGTTGCAACAGTTCGTCCAGTCATTCTCACTCATTCTTTTTCTTTCATCCGTTGTCTTCTCTCCATCTTGCCTTGGGTAGTACAGATAGATATTCCTGCACATGAAAGCCACAGCACAGTAATGCCCAGAAACGCCCAGTAGAAATGCCCCGTCTAGTGCTTATAACGCCCTGCTCTCAAACGCTCTCCTCATCAACTTGTTCCTCGTATTCTGCGTCAACTCTCTCTCTCTCCACCGCACGCGGCCCACTCAACTCTCGCTGGTTCCTGGCATCAAACCGCCACCACTCAGGTTCCGCGTGCTAAGCAGCCGCTAACGCTGCAGTGGCTTTCAGGGGTTGCAAAAATAGCAGCTCGAAGCTTCTTGGGAGCACTACAGTACAGTAGAGGCAAAGAGCCACTCCGCGACTTAGTGGCCACTGAGGTCTCTTGGGGCCTCTTGGCCCAGCCTTTGCGAGTCCACAAGGGGCAGCACCGGACAGGGGCTCGGGCCAATGGGGGGCGCGGCGGCGAGGCAGTTTGAGCCGTGAGCGTTTGGGCGAAACGGGGGGTGGAGGGCGAGGAGAAGGAAAAAGAGAAGGAAAAAAATTGCCTGAAACAACGGTCCCCAGTTATCTGTGTCTGGAGTTGAGGCCACTAAGCTGGGTTGAGCATGAGACAGTGGACGGGCTATATTGACAAGGCTGGACTGGACTGTATGCTGTAGAGAATTCGACAAGATGGAAGATGGGAGATGGAAGATGGGAGATCAAGGGTAAAAATGCTGCTTCGATAAGATGACGGAGGTTTCCAGCAGCATCATCACATATCAATATCAATACCAATACTGTACAATACTATTTCTACCCGGTTGAATAGTATTAATAGACACGCTTAAATAGTGCAGACAGGCATTGATCACCAGATTGCCATCGCGCCTTGGTATTTGGCATCGAGGTACTTGTACCTACTAACACCCATTGATGATCTCCCATCGATTAACCCGTTGGCATGTGCCCTCAGCCCACCAACTTCTTTTCCACCTCAAGGGCTCTCTCCATCCCTCTCTCTAGCCCTCCAAGGGCCCGGATAGAGCGTCAGATGCATCCATTTTAACGGCCCTGGACCCTCCCTGGCGTGTCTCGCTTCTCCATCCGAGCTTGGGCCCGATGCCATCTGTGATCCTCGACGCAACACTACACTTGACTGGCAGCACACGCGGGCACACCATCCCCATCCAGGCATCGCCCTGGTTCCCTCTTTTCCTGCTCACCTGGCCACTCGAATCCCCCATCCGAATGACCCCCCTGGTCGCCTCGAGCCTTTCCTCTTCTTCTACTTTCATCCTCCTCTTCTTCTCCTGCTGCTTCTGCCCTCCAAAAGCCCTGCCTCGTCTGCGATTCTCTAGCAGAGAGCGTCCCTCGTTTGTGCGTCTCGGTTTTTTGGCTTGGCTTGGGTCTTCATCCACTCTCGTTTTCTGGTTTCCCGACCCCTTCGCCCTTCGCTCGCTGCTCGATCTGGCGACTTGGCAACCGACAGGCATCATCGCAAGCGACATTGCCCCTGACATCACGCTGGTGACGCAACACTCGGATTGCGGATTCCTCTTGGGGACGCGTTTTTCTCGGCCAGCCTTTGAGCTCTTGATTGAGCCACGACCGGCCCTGTATCCGCTGCTCGGCGCAACAAGTCACCAACAAAGCTGCTACCCGCCTCTTGAACGCTCTCGTTTGCGCGGTGGAAATTCAGCCAGTGTCGAGATTGCGCCCTGCCTTTCTTCCTTCTTCCTTCTTCCTCTTCTTCTTTGTTTTCAGTGGACAAGTAAACCGGTCTTTTGCCCTTGGTGGGCGCCCAAATCTGCATCATGACCTTTCAAGACCCTGTCATACAATGGCTTCGGGCGCGCGACGACACCAACACCCCCAGCTCCGATAGCAACAATCCTGCGAACCAGCTGCTAAATCTACTCAAAGATCCCTTCTCTGGCACGGTTAGTCAATCACGTCTACCGGGCGCAGTGTCTTTTTTCATAATTCTAACCTGGCGGCCTTGTAGCTTGCGTCGGCTTCCGTTTACTCTGCGTTGGGTATTTCCCTCGGCATCACGGCCTTTGTCGCCATCGTCTTCTCCTTCATCAGACCTTACAATCAGTCCGTGTACGCCCCGAAGCTGAAGCATGTCGACGACAAGCACGCTCCGCCTCCACTGGGCAAGAAGCCGTGGTCGTGGATCATGCCCTTGATGAGCACCCACGAAGAACAATTGATGCACACCATCGGCATGGACGCCACCATCTTCCTGCGCGTGATGCGCATGTGCCGCAACATGTTCTGTATCCTCGCCATCATTGGCATCGGTATCCTTGTCCCGATCCACTCAACCAAGTCTGTCAAGTATCCGGGGGAGGTAACCACCTCCAACAGCTGGATTACCACCATTACTCCCTTGAATGTCTATGGTAAATGGATGTGGGGGCAAGTGGTCATTGCTTGGGTCTTCGACATCATCGTTTGCTTCTTTTTGTGGTGGAACTACCGCAGGATAATGCAGCTTCGGCGCAAGTACTTTGAGAGTGAGGACTATCAAAGCAGTCTGCACTCGCGAACGCTAATGGTAAGCTGGCTGCTCATTGTCGAAACTCTCCCTCCACTTGTTCTGGATGACAGAAACAGCCGACTGACCATGAACCTAGTTGTACGACATCCCCAAGCAAGGCTGTTCTGATGAAGGCATTGCGCGCATCATTGACGGTGTCGCGCCCAACTCATCTTTCGCGCGAACCGCCATTGCCCGAAACGTCAAGGACCTCCCCGACCTCATTGCGGCGCACGATCGAGCGGTTCGGAAACTGGAAAAGGTCCTGGCCATCTATCTCAAGAACCCCCAGAGCCTGCCGCCGCGACCAACCTGCAAGCCTTCCAGGAAGGACCGCTCGTACGGCACTTATCCAAAGGGCCAGCGGCTGGATGCCATTGAGTACTACACACAGCGCATTCGAGAACTCGAAGTGGAGATCAAAGAGGTCAGAGCAAGTGTCGACAAGCGGAGCTCCATGCCTTTCGGATTTGCCAGTTACTCGGACGTCTCCGAGGCGCACGAGATTGCCTACATCACCCGCAAAAAGAAGCCCCACGGCACTACCATCAAGATGGCGCCCAAGCCCATCGACATCATCTGGCAAAACATGCCGCTGTCCAGCTCTACCCGAAGTCGCAGGCGGTGGATCAACAGTTTTTGGATTGTCCTTTTGACCTTTTTATGGATTGCGCCCAACGCCATGATTGCCATCTTCCTCGTCAACTTGGGAAATCTGGGCAAGGTCTGGCACGGATTCCAGGTGTCCCTGCAAAAGGAAACAACCTTCTGGGGCATTGTTCAGGGTATTGCGTCCCCTGCCATCACGTCGGGTGTCTATCTGGCTCTCCCCGTCATTTTCCGTCGCCTGTCCATCAGGGCCGGAGACAAGACAAAGACGGGACGTGAGAGACACGTCATGGCCAAGCTCTACGCCTTCTTCGTCTTCAACAACCTCATCGTCTTCTCCTTCTTCAGCGTCATCTGGTCCTTTGTCGCTGCCGTCGTCACCGATGCCGACGACGGACTGAACGCGTGGGACGCCATTGTCAAGGAAAACATTGCGGCCATGATCTTCACTGCCTTTTGCAACAACAGCCCCTTTTGGATCACCTATCTTCTGCAGCGACAGCTCGGTGCCGCCATTGACCTCGCCCAGCTCTGGCCACTCATCAGCGCCTTTTTCCTCAAGAGGTTCTCCAGCCCTACGCCACGAGAGCTTATTGAGCTGACGGCCCCGCCGGCGTTTGATTATGCCAGTTACTACTGCTACTTCCTCTACTACTCGACTGTTACGCTGTGCTTCGCGGGTATTCAGCCCCTCGTCCTTCTCGCGACGGCCCTGTACTTTTGCATCGATTCCTTCCTGAAGAAGTACTTGATCCTGTACCGCTTCGTTACCAAGACGGAGTCTGGTGGCTTGTTCTGGCGTGTCATCTTCAACCGTTTCATCTTCGGCACCGTCTTGTCCAATGGAGTTTTCCTGCTGACGTGCTGGGTGCGCGGAGACGGCACTCACATTCAATTCTATGCCGTGTGCCCCTTGCCTATTCTCCTGATCCTTTTCAAGATTTACTGCGGAAGGGCCTTTGACGATAAGATCCGATACTACAAGATATCTGCTGCACGAAAAAGCCAGGGCCCTGAAAGCATGCAGAAGGAGAGCCGCCTCCGAAGTGAGAAGCTGGCTAGTCGCTTTGGCCACCCGGCTCTGTACAAGCCCCTCATCACTCCCATGGTCCACCAGAAGGCACAGAACCTGCTCCCGTCCGTCTACTCGGGACGGTTGAGTGACGGCAGAGATGGCGCAAACAATGCAGACCTGATGACCGTCAGCGGCTACTCGGACGTGTACGCCCTCAACGCCATGCAAGGTGGTAAGCCCGGCAAAGCTGCTGACGGGGTGCCTGGATTCGAGTTCGTCTCGGAGGCGCACATGGACTTTGAGTATTACAAGAATCGGGCAGAGTTTACTGAAGAGCACGGAGGCGGTGAAATGTACGGCAAGGAGTTTGACGGCTTCAGGCCGGGAACGCCCGGCTCGCTCGACAGCAGCTCCAGGCCGGGAACACCATCCAACCGCCACGTCACGCCCTTTTCTCCCGGAAACGTGAAGCTGCCGACGCCGCAAGAAACAAGCTACCAGTCCTACAGGCCCAGCCCCTACGCGGACGATTCCATCGGTCGCCATCGCAGCCCCCTCTATGCCCAAGACAACGGCAGTTCGTCAGGCCTGGTGAGCAATGCCGTGGGCCCGGCCATGGTGCCGCCCGCGTCGTATCGAGACATGTCTCAGGAACGGTCACGGAGTCCCGCACCGGGTATGCCTCTGGCAGGCTATCAGGAAGTATCGCTTGATCGGACCCGGAGTCCAGCAGTCGGTTCGCCAGCCTCAACGCCCGGCGCGGGGGTGGGCGGACCGCGGGGATACAGCGGCCTCCCCCAACAAGAGGAGCAGGATGTCGATCCCATGCAGTACAACTACTTTAGGGGAGGATCTCGACCGACGAAGCCTCCCGGACAGGGCTGGTAAAAGAGACATGTGACGAGAAACAATGGCTGCCGCAGTCCTTGATAAGCGGGACTCGGAGATGAATGAGGCGGTATATATTTTGTGTTTGACAAGGGGGCTCTGCATGGCGTTTACGGGTTTTAGACTAGATGGCTGAGACCTCTGGATATTTGAGATGAGAGGCGTAGCACCTTTTGACGTTTGGGGGGGTTTTTTTTTTGGAGACTTGGAGATTTTGGAGATTTTTCTGCACTATTTGGATAAAAATGTCCAGTTATTTTTTGACTTCTTGGATAGGATATGAAAGAAATATTACGAAGCTTTGTTGTACATGGTCCTTTTTTTTTCTCCGTTAAAGTATATATCATATTATTACTATTACCATATTGTTGTAGAGTGCTGAGATTAATATTGTCTGTGTCTGGCGTGATCCAGCTGTAAGGTGTATTCTTTGAAAATAACATTACCCGTCTTCTTCTTCTTCTTCTTCTTCTTCTTCTTCTTCTTTCTTTCTTTGTCTTTGTCTTTGTCTTTGTCCTTGTCTTTTCTAGTCAAAATCCAAACATCTAGACAAACGTGTTGCCAGTCTCGCAAAACCTCGCAGCATACAAACTCAAATCTTCGGCCAACTGGTTCACCACGTCTTCCTTCAGCACGGCATCATGCCACGACAAGCCAATGGTCAACTTGGACCCAGCCACGCTCGCAACGTTGACGGCAACCGGCGGCCCAGCAGCCATGGCCCCGTTGGTAAAGAGCATGCGCGTGGCCCGGGGAACGTCCGCCTGCGCCTCTGGGTTCTTGAGCACGCCAATGTTGCTAATCTCCCAGGACTCGGTGCGCTGCCTGCCGTCCCTGCCGCGCCAGAAGGAGAACCAGTCGCCGACGAACTTGAACATGGCCATGATGTCGTCTTTGGGCAGGGAGGCGAGCTTGGCGGTGAGTTCGTCCTTGACTTGGCGGGCGTTTTGCCAGATTAGGGCCGTGGTGTCGGCGTTGGGGGCGCGGAGAGCGGACACCGCCTTTGGGGAGAAGTGGTGTGTCGTGGCGGCGACGAGGCAGCGGAGAGATGTCACGTATGCGGGATCCATGGAGGGAGAAGTAAAGGGCCGGAGACTGATGGGTGTAGATGCTGCGAAGGCGGGCGCCTCGGTTGGAGAGGAGATGCGGGATGACAGAGAGGCGAGGACGAGGGAGTGCAGGAGAGCTGTGACGGTGACGGAGTGTTCTCTGCAGGCGGAGAGAAGCGTTGCGAGGGCCTCGGGCGAGATGTCGACGGGCCTGACACGCGTCTTGTAGGGCAGCGAGAGGTCGACGGGGATGGCGTTCCAGATGGGCTGCTTGGGGGGCTGGAGGAACGAGGGGCCGAGGGCGGTCCAGAGGGTGCGCACGGTATAGCCGATGGAGAGGGTGAAGTCGACGACTTTCTCCTGGGTTTCGGGGAGTGACGATGGCGGCTCTGGAAAGGAGAGGATTTGCTCTGGCTCGGCCGGGATTTGTTGGCCTTGGTAAGCGGGCGTTGCGAGAAGCATCTCGTGAAAGCGGCGGCCGCTGGTTCCGTCCATAAGGGAGTGATGATAGGCAAAGAAGACGTCTTCCTGCCCTTTCAACTGCTCCGTGACATCGGGATTGCCGCTGCTGGGCCTGAGGATGGTGATTCTCCAGGGAGGCCGCACGGCGAGGTCCTGGAACTTTTGGTCATGTTCCCAGCCCTGATGCTCGGCAACTCTGTCCTCATACTCTTGGACGGATTGACAAGGCACGACAATGACGGAGACTTGGCTGCGCAGATCGATGGAGGGGATGTGGATGAAGTGGGCGTCGTTTGTGTCGTCCCCCGTGATGCCGACACGCAGCATGGGCTGGTCCTTGATGGCGGTTGCGAGAGCGGCGAAGAAGTGCGGGCTGATGGATGTGCCGTCGGGCTGAGAGGATGGAGGGTGAGAGTAGCGGCATGATACGGTGACGCAGCGGTAGATGCCGAGATTGTGACGGGAGGAGGAGAAGAGTTCGCTGGATCGGGGTGTGAGTATGTGAGTATGTACGTGTATGAGAATGATGGAGGTGAAGCGAGGTGTAGGGCTTACTTGTGTCCGAGTTTGCGGAGGATGTGGGGAGTGTTGCCGGAGCCCATTGTGATTCAATTGATTTGTTTATGATGGATTGAGTGGTGGATTGGGCTGAAAGAGAGGGATGGGCTTGGATGTTGATGTTGCTGCCTGATGTGTTTGACGGGATGTCTTTTGGTGGTGAGGGTGAAGAGCCCTGCGGACCTCGTCGCTTGAGGTTGTTACCACCGAGATATGTATATTATCATAGGATGGGATGATGTTGGTTAAAACAGTAATCAAGAAAGAAGAAAGGGAAGAGAAGAAGCTCGGTTTAAAAGCAAGGCTGAAAGCAGATGAATAATATAGCTACAATGCGATTGTTTCAAGGGCGCCCTTGTCTATTGGCTCGGCGGAGGATGCAGATGCATGTACTAAAAGAGGTAGCCAATCCATACTAACTAAAACTATTTCGTGCCTGGGGCTAAGGGAAAACACGCAACACTCTCTGGAGGGGTTAATCCTCGGGGCATCGCAAAGAGAACTATTGTCCGAGCCCGAGAGAGAGAGAGAGAGAGAGAGACGTTAAGCCTTTAGAGGGCAATCCGCTGAGTGTCGTTGCATGTCGTATTACATCAGTACGCGGTGGGTACATGGACCTTGAGAGGCTGGAATGTCTGCCAAATGATAGCCATGGATCTATTGACGAAATCAAGAGTACGAGTACACTGGATGGCAGCGCTAGAATGAATTGCCTGGAAAGAGTTGGCCAGTGCGAGGGTGAAGACGTGATGTAAGGGGGAGAAGAGAACAATGTGGACAATGTGTGGTGCGGATGGTACTGGATTCGCCAGATGACGATGGAGCCGAGTTGAATTGAATTGAACTGAGTTGTGGCTGATTTTGGTAAGAGACTTGGCTGGTACTGTAGTGGTTTCACAAGCCTCAGTTCATGTGCTACAAGATACATACAAGCCAAAGAACTACGAACAATGAATGAGACACAGGCATTCAGATATATACAGTAAAAGCCAGGCCGAAGATTTCATCTGGGCCCAACACAACAACAATGCTAAAATGGGCGATTGTGGTGTGTTGGCTGCCGTCTCATTGGCTGCGGACCGGCTGACTTGGAGGGTGCACCATGATTTTAAGTTTGGCGGCGGCCAGCGCTGATCAATTTGGAGGTCTAACAAATGTCTGTGTCATATGGGCAATTCAAGTCAATTATGCTGTACAGTATTAGGTTTGTTGTGTAGTAGATTGTCGAGATGTTGCTACAATTAAAAAGACTCTGGCGTGGACTGAGAGATGCTTCTGAGCGCCTCACCTCGGTAATATCACCACCTCTCCACGTATTGCCCAAGACGGCCCAGGAACACAAATCATCAAATCAACCCACCACTGTAGTGCATCCAATAACACATTTTGCCGATACACACAGTATCTCAGCTGATGCGCTCGTTATGCTGGATTCAGGGCAAAAGTCGGCACACGTGCTCTATCGAGGCTACACCGACTGATACGATGGGATTCGTGCGGTCTTATTGGTGACGAGTTAGTCATGTATGTACCTGCTTCATGCATACATGCTGAAGACTCGCCATCTCACACCAACCAATACAGATACGAGGCAGATTCTTGTCGAGGCTCATACCCCGTTGCTGCGACTCAAACAACTTCAACAACATCGCATTGATGCTTCTCCCATGTTAGAATCACGTCAACTCAAAACGGCCAAAGCTCCGTCCAGCTTGGACTCGGCTTGGCCCGTGACAAGTTCGGCAAACCTTGTCCGTGCATCTGACAGGTTGCAGCCAAATGCCTGTCACGGCGACTTTTTCTAAAAACAAACCAAAGATGCTGTCCATCTACGTAGAATCCAGTCAAAATTAGACTGTTTTGATTGCATCTTCACTTTCAATTGACTCTTTTGCGACACTGACCTGCTGTTCCTTTTCACGTGGTTCAAGTACCTCCCTCGACCAAAAATAGGGCAGCGCCTCGTATAACAATACCCCGACGCACGGGCCAGTGGACAGCAAGCACATGTCCCAAAAAAGTCACAGAATCGCCCCCTGTCCAATCGACCGCTAGTCGCCAGAACGCGCTCGCTCTCCTTCGTTCAAATCTTCTTCCCTTGTGCTTTTCGTCCTTTTCATTGCCTTTTGCTCCTCCCAGCGTCCAAACATATTGATTCCAAGCAGCCAGAATAGCTTCCATCGCACAGGCGTTGCGACTCGCTACAGATACGAATACGATTTCTCTTTAAACCCATCAGCTTCTACTTGTACAGCATCTCGTCCATCCGGCCTCGACTTTGATCCTCCCGTCGCAAAGGGCCATGACGCGCCTCGACTGAATCACGATTCACCAGCAAAAGCACCATCGCCTGCTGCAGTAACCATGCGCTTTTCCGCCGCAGCATCCAATTCCGTCGATTCGTCTTTATTCCAATAGTCACAAAGAGCTTGCAATGCAGGAGCATCAAGCAATTGGCGTCCGGCAAAATGGACGTCCCGCATCCTTATACGTGAATGACGGCAGTCGGAAGCCGTTATTCGGCCGGCCAGATGACGGCAGTGAAAATCAATTGCACGTCTACACGGCCAAGACGCCGGGCTTCTCGAGGATAGGAATGGGAGCAGCCACGAGCATGTCCGGCGGCGACCACGCGACGGGCCTGCGGAAGCCGAGGCCCGTCTCCGAAGGCTTCTTCTCGACCCGAGACCAGGCAAATACCAATGGCAACGCCAATGCCAACTCCAGCGTGCTCTCGTCTGGAGGCACCCGAATCCCCCGACTGAATAGCACGCGCCGGAAGCCCATCTCGTTGCGCAAGGCCATGGAGCTCGCAGAGGGCGAGGAAGAGGCGGCAAAGCTGATGCACGAGGCAGGCCTTGACGACCCCGTTGCCGTCGACGGCTCGCCCAGTCCGGCGCCCAGGCCCTGGAGGACGAGGACGGCTTCCGAGGTGTCTGAGCTGCAGCGGGTGCTCGGGGCCGACCATCTCGACACCAAAGGGCGCAGCAAGATTCCCTCGGCGCGCAACTCCAACCTCAGCGCAACGCTCGTGGGAGGCAGGGAAGGAGCAATATCGCCGGCCAGGGCCACCCGCCTCACCGGCGCCGACGGCCTCGTGCGACAGCGATCGGCCGAGTTTGTCAGTCCTGCCATCCGCAACGCCCTGCGGTCTGGAGGAGCACACAGAGACGCCACCGCCACCACCGCCAGCGGCACCAGCGGGCTTCCAGAACTGGTCCCGGGCATCGAGGATATCCCCCTTTCCACGGTCGACCCTGCCCTCTCGGCGGCAACGCTCGTCCAGCGATCTTCTCCCGACAAGAGCTTCGCCTGGCAGATGGATGAGGATTTCACCGCCGGCGAGTTGCAGATCTCCGAGAGTCCACGCGTTAGGGTCGGGACTCGGCCGTTTGCGAGTCGCCTCGGATTCCGCGACGATGGAAAGCAAGACTTTGACAGCCTGCCCCGTCTCGCCAATCCAGGGTCTCGCAACAACAAGCTAGACGAAATCCGAGCGCTCGAGCTTAAGGCAAACGGCAGCCATATACCGCTGGCACACCAATCACGGCTGAGGCCACCAAATACAAAACTTGAGGAAATACGCGCAAGGGAAGGGCAGGTGGAGCGACAGTTTCCTCTTGCCAGCAGACACCTTGACGGACTGAGAAACAACACCAAACTAGACGACATCCGGCAGCGGGAGGCCGACGGCGTGTCGAAGCGGGCCTTTGCAGCCGCTCGCCTCCAGGAAATCAAGGAGCAAAATTCCATGGCACGTCCTCGCTCCCCTGATGAAGAGCCCAAGCCTCGTCCAACTTTTGGGCTGGCGCGGCGGCGCCTAACAAAGCAAGAACCAGTCGACGATGTAAAGAAAGACGAACTGCCACAGATTCTGCGTCCAAGGACGTCTTTCGGCGGAGGGGAGTTTGGTCGACAGGTAGCGGACGCACCCACGACATTCTTTGGTCGAGATGCGAGGCGCGCAGAAGAGGAGGACAAGGCTGAAGCGGCATTGCCATCTCGCGAGCCACTGAAAAGGCTGGAAATCCACGAGCAGAAACGGGACAACCTGCTGACAAGGCCCAAACCCTTTGAAAGGCGGCCTGATGAGCAAGACCTGCTGCGCCGGCTGGCAAGGGCCGCCAGCTCCAGCCCGCCACCTGAAGACGAGCCCAGGACAAAACAGCTGCCCACTCCTCCGCCAGGTGACGAGGAACACAAACAAACCACCGCCAAATCAATCGCCGACAGGATCGCTTCTCGCATCTTTTCGAGACGCGCCTCTGCTGGCGACAAGCCTGCTGCTGCGACCACTGCCACTACCACGACTGCTGCTACGACGACGACGACCGACTTGAAAGATTCCGAAAAGCCAAAGCCCGCCGTGGGATTCATTGGCCTGCAGCGCTCACGATCGGTAGAATCCGCCAAGAGCAAGCGATCCAGCATGCAGTCAGAACCAGACCCGACGGCTAGGATAGACTCGGAGATCAAGTTGTTTGCGCCTTCGGACAACCAGTCTGAGCGAGGTTCCATACGCGCGCCATCTCCGCCTCTCGATGACTCGGACGAAGGTGACAATGGGCTAGACGAGTCGTCAGCGATGATAACAACCCCAAGGCCCACCAAGCCTGACCCTTTGACCATGCCGACTCCGAGGATTACGGGTGCCTATGTCGAGACGCCGGTGACGGTCAAGACTGAAAAGCTGGTGCTGAAGCCCGAACTACCTGCTCCAGAGATGCAAGAGGAGGCCAAGGCACCTGCAATGACATCTGCCGAGCCGCCCGCTTCACTCCTTCGGGCCAGGAAGCCGAGCTTCTCCTCGTGGAGGAGCAGGGAGAGAAGCCAAGACCAGGACACTGCCTCAGATCCCGGCACGACTGACGACGGCGGCGATATTGCGCTTGCGTCGGTGGCTGCAAAGAAACCGCGGGCGAAATCGCTGCCTCGACGCAGGCCACCCATGAAGAATTCGGCCAGGCCTCCATCCGCCAAGGATGATTTGATGCAGCTGCGCCGAGAATACGACATGCAAGACTCGACATTTGACGACCTGGACGCGTTCATCGCCAATGCCAAAAAGGCAGCCAAGCTCGACGCGCCAAAGAGCGATCCTCTTCCTCCGTCCACAGTAGCCGCCGACAACTTTGATCTGGACCTTGAGTCGGAGTCTGACCCCTCTGATGTGATTAAGGGCGAGGGCCAGAAGGATGACGAGATGGCTGCCTTTGAGAGAATGAACAAGTCGCTGCAAACAGGCCTCTTACGGATCCGTTCGGCCAAACAGGGCATCGAGCGCTTCGAGGATCGCTTCGATCGCTATTCTCGAGCTCAGCCTCAGCCGCAACCTCAACCGCAACCTCAACCGGTAGCTCCTCCAGAGAAGACGGCCACAAAGGCCCTGCCTCAAGAGAAGAAGGATATAAAACCCTTGGTCCAGGAGAAGAAGGACACAAAACCCTTGATCCAAGTGAAGAAGGACACAAAGACCAAGACCCAAGCCCCCAAGGGTCACGCGCATCACAACCACAAGAATCCCACGCAAGGCTGTCCGTACTGCAAACCATCGTCGTCGTCGTCGTCATCGACAAGCTCTTCTGCCACCCCCGTTACCTACCTTCATCTTACACTGCCGCAACTATTTTATCGAACGCCAACCTTTCGCCTCACTTGGCTGGGCGTGTTCACGCTGGTTCTCTCACTGTGGTACGCCGCCGAGTCAACCATGTGCTCCGTGTACTGCCGCCCAACAACCTGTCCAGCCTCCAGGTCGCCCTGCGTCTGGTCCTTTGACGACCCCACGGATTTCGGAACGGCCCTGCCCATCAAGCTCGACCAGTGGATCACCGGCGGGCAAGGACGTCAAGTTGCAGCAATCGCATACGAGGAAGCGCACGACTTTCTCGCCGACGTGCAGGATCTCGCTCTGAGACGCGACATTACTCAGGTGGACACGGAGTCGCTCTCTCCTGAGCAGAAGCGGCGGCATAGGCGGCGGCTCCGGAAGAAGGGCCTCGTGGCCTCTGCCAGAGAGCCGCTGCCGGAGGAAAAGGCGAAGTGGGACGAGTGGCGAGCGTTGCGGTTGGCGAAGCAGCGGGCTGAGGAGACGAGGGACAAGGGCGAGAAGCCAAAGGCCAAGCCTGTGGACGACGATGAGGAGCAGGGGTGGGTGAAGATTAGGCGATGGAGGTGAAGGGGAGAAACACGACGACGGGATTCTTTTGGCGGCAGTTTTTGGTGGGAGTTTTCTCTCTCTCTCTCTCTCTCTTTTTTTTTCTTTTCTTTTCTCCACATTACTTGCCTTTTTTTTCTACCTTCTTTCTTTTCTTTCTTATATATACTACACATAATAATCGTTACTGACGAGATAATGATGAGGAGCAGGGAAACTGAACAAAAATGGAGTATGGAGCATAATACAGTCACGATGCATTGGCCGAACATTGAATATAGGTAGTATAATGAAGAAGGGTGGTTTTGTTTCATCACACCAAGTGTCGTGTTCTCGTCAATTGTTGGCTGAGTGGTATATGGAGCATTGTATGATTGTGTGTTTATATGTGTAGATATATACAATTTTCTTGTGGGACGCAACATGTGAAATTGAAATTGAACCAAGATTTCTTCTTTCTCGTAAAAACGCCAGACACCTTTTCTTCTTGCCCATCCACCGCAATGGTTGATATACACATTTAACCAGAATCCAAAAATGTAAAACGACGCCCTCTCCGTCTCGCCCATTAATTGTCTATGCCACCCCATTCGGCATCCTCCGCGCCCTCCTCACCATCCATCTCTTCGTCGTCCTCCTCCTCCTCCTTCTTCTCCACCCACGGCAGTCTCTCATCATCATAGCTGTCCAGCGCACGCTGTCGAACCGACTTGACAGGACACCTCTTGAGACTCTCCACCAACGCTCCAACCTTGTTCACAAACGCCCTCGCGTGCTCATCCTCCACAAGCGCCCCCTCGCGCTCCAGCTCGTCCACCCAAACATCAAGCACATGCAGCCTCAACCCCAGCGCAACCTTGTTCTCGTCTTCAACGTCAAAACACCACTGCGCAAACACACGCAGCACCTGCTCCGCCAAATCACCCTGAAACCCATTCTCTTTCACAACCTTGACATGCGCGGCGAACATTCTCCTAACGAGCAGGAGGAACTTGTCGAGGCGCAGCGCCTCAATGTGCGGCCACTGGACGCCGAGGACGGACCAAAAGGCGGCCAGCCAGGGCTCGACGCAGGCGGGCTGCAGGCCGGAGACGAGGCCGGCGAGGTCGGCGGCGAGGGCTTGCTGCGGACGAGGGCGGTCGGTCATCCAGAGGGCGTAGTAGAGGCCTGTCCAGAGCTTGCGGGCGTCGAGGGGGGTGAGGGAGCGGCGGGAGGAGAGGAAGGCTTGGAGGGAGGAGAGGGATTCGGTGCGGAGTTTGCGGTCTGTTGATGCCAAGGTTAGCATGGTTGTGTCGTGGGAAGAAGAAGAGAGAAAAAGGTGACGAACCGCTTGAGGCGAGGTTTTTGATAAAGGGCATCTGCTGCGCTTCTTGCGCAGAGACGGCGGCGGCGGCGGCCATGGCTGGTGGAGATTTTTTTTGTATGTGTGTGTATTCTATGTATATATGGCTGGATTGAGTCGAGAATTGGATTATACGGCGTGTATGAATGGAATAGGTACGTTGGATAGTACTGGTTACTGGACGAGCAGGTGGTGAGAGTTGGTAGGGAAATTTTGAAAGGCTTTGGAAAAAATCAAGGTGAAGCTTCGGTGTGAGGGTCGGTGAAGGCGAACAGGGCCCCACATGGAGATGGCCGTTGACCGAGATTTGAGGACCTGGTGCTTTGCTTTGTTGGATCTTTGTTACTATTAGTAAGTTATCACAAGTACCCGCAGGTATTACTTATACGTGCGACGTGGAATCATGCCGAAGTATTCAGTAAGAATCAGCAATATATTCCTAACCAGGCGGTAATCATACAACATCAGCCTCTTTCTTGATTCCAAACGATACCGCAGCTTCGTACCTGTACTTGCCGCCATCCCGCCCGCCCCGCCATCTGGTACGTACTCGGTACCTGGGCGTGTAACATGCAACAAGACCCCACATCCGTCATTTACAGTCACAGTCACAAGTCACAGACACGCTCAGCTACGAAGAAGAGCTTCATCTTCTTGGTTCTGCTTTCTTTTGCTCTCTCCCTCTCCCTCCATCGTCTACACCCTGCCTGACTTCACACCGCGAATACGAGCATCCCGACCAGCTGCGATAGAATCACCTCTCGCCTCTCTCTCTATCTCTCTCTCTGCATCAACGACGACGTCACGGCCGGCCTCCTCGACTCGACTCGACATTTGCCCATACGACCGAGCAGAACAACTGGCTGTTTACTCTCCTACATCTTGAAGAAGAGATAGATAGGCCTTTAACGCCATTCTTTCCGTCACATCTCTCTCTTGATCCAACTCGGACATTGCCTACCCATCACAACCATCATGTCGACCAGACGCATCTCCAAGGTAAGCCTCGCCCATCACCAGCCTCTCCTTCGTCTTTGCTTACTCTCTTCTTCTCCCCAGGAACTAGCCGAAGTCTCCCAAACCCCCATCGAGGGCTTCGTCGTCGCGCTCCCTCCCAACAACTCGGTCCACACCTGGCACGTCACCCTCCAGCCTCCAGCCTCGACCACCTTCTACCCGGGCCGCTTCGGCATCGTCCTCACCCTGCCCACCGACTACCCCTTCAAGCCCCCCGTCGTAAAGTTCGTCACCCGCGTCTACCACCCAAACGTCACAAACGACTCCCTCGGCAACGTCTGCCTCGCCATCCTCAAGGCCGAGAACTGGAAGCCCAGCACAAAGATAGTCTCTGTCCTCGAGGCCCTGCGCAACCTGCTCGTCGAGCCTCAGCCCGACGACCCCCTCGAGGAGCGCATCGCCGACGAGTATCGCAACGACAGGGCCGCGTGGGAGGCAAAGGCAAAGGCCGCCGTCACCAAGTATGCCCTCGAAGACCCCATCTTTCCGCCATCATAAAAGGCTTTCTCGGTTTTTTTACCTTTGCATTATTACAAGAGCAAGAGAGGGAGGGAGAGATGAGATGAGGTGCTGGACAAACAGGGATTGCTACAAGTCGTCGTACTTGTACATGCATACATGGGGTACGCGTAGCATAGAATGACATATGGGCGGCAGTTGAGAGACTTGCAGGATGAAGAGGGTGCATAACAGATGACTATAAAGTCTCGAGAGCATCATTGTAGCTAAGAATATGGTATCGGTGAGGTATCAGGTTGAACCAAGACAATAGTTGGCGCCAGGCTGAGGGTTGGCATGATGAAATACAACATTTCTTTTCTTGTTAATTTACTATTTGCTCATATAAACGTGAACTGAAACGTTTGTCCCTGAAAACCAACTGTTGTATCAATCTGTAGGAACCCATTTTGGTACAACATCATCATTGTTATACAAGTTGTCGTTGTTATTGTTATTAAACACCTGCGATATAAACAACTCCCGTTTACATGGAATAAAAAACCACAGCCATCCGATTAACCACGTCGATACAAGTAGTCCAGATCCTCACCAACACACACAAAACATCCAATCCACCAAAAAGACTCATCAGCACCCCAAAGCCTGCCTATCCACAACACAATGCATCGCAAAGTCACCACACACTCCAGCCGGAATCCCGCACTGCCCAGTGCAAGAAGTGCTCACGCTGGGCTTCAAGTCCACCACAAAGTTGCCGTGGCCGGTGTTGTAGTGCAGCTTCTCGCAGTCCTCGACCCAGGCGTCGTTGACGTTTCCGCGGCACGTCATGGTTGTGGATAAGTTGTTGTTGTTGTTGTTGCTGTTGCTGTTGTTGTTGGTGATGCTTTTCAGAGACAGATTTGAGGCAACAAAGGATGTAGTGTTGAAGTTGTAGAGGAACAAGGACTGATGTTGATTTCCAGTTTGCGACACACTAAATCAGAACTCGAGGGCAGCATCTCGGCTTGCTTTATATCCTTCTTGACAAGACGGGGCTCGTGGTTTAAAGAAAAAAGAATTATAGCCTAGCCAAAGCTGAAATGAGTTGTGTATTTAAAGCAAAGCTTCATAATTACGCCCCCAAATTTGCAATATTCCCTTGTGCTATTTGCTGCTTCGACACCTTTCTTACAACTTGACATGGATCAATAAATAATCAGCCAGTCAGGTATATACAGATCCTCTAAGATTTTCAAATCATGCTAGAAACTCATTCGACTAATAAACATATTCTCCAAAATCCATGGCAGTAAAACCTTCTAGTCAGAAATACAATGACCTGCTCGAGGAGCGCATCACCGTCGACCAACCAACAAACCAAGGCCCGCAACTGGGGAAACTCGCCCCAAAAACAAGCCCCTTAGAAGGAAAAAAATCTCTCATTAAACTAGATTTTAATACCTCTAACAAAATGTAGACTTGACAAGAAGCTTGTCGGCATTCTCCGTCTCGGTCCGATTCTTGTTCTTCTGTTGGTAGCTGGGGGGGTTGAATGATATACCCTTGAACTTGACTCCAAAGACCACTGCGCGTGAATGATTCAGGGAAATTTTTCATCTAGCTGGCGCTTCATCCTTCTTCTTTCTTCTAGGAACGATGTCACCGTCACTGCTCCATGTCATTTCGTCAAGACAATTCGTCTTGATTCTTCTATATAGTATAGTTCCGAGCAAACGTTCCTCTATTACACGAAGAAGCGGAGGGTCAAGTCCGGCTATGCAATAATCCCAGCAACCAACTGACGATAGGATCGGTCGAATCCTTCCGTCAAGGTAGTTTTCAAGCAATAAAGAACCTAGAATTTCCTGATCTGGTGGCGATGGCCCGAGCAGTACAACACTTAGTAGTTGCGAGAGTCCATATACTAGAATAGATTGCTAGACAAATATCCTCCATGGTACATACCACCTTTCAAAAAGTAAAGTGATACAACACTCACCTTTCCCCTTCTTCCAAAGAGCCAGGCAAGAATTCTATTCCAGAAATCTACTTGATTACTATTAAGATTGGCAAACAAGATATAGCAAATGGGAAACAATTCATCACATCACGCACAAAGCACACACACACACACACACACACACACACACACACACACACACACACACACACACACACACACACACACACACACACAAGTCAAAAAAAAGCCTTTCGTTCAAGAATTCATCATTGGCCGCGCCACAAAACAACAATTGTGTGTACACGCCAGTGGGTGTTTTGCCAATTGCTCCCTCATTCCCTCCCCAAGATTTTGTGTCCTATTCTATCCAAGTTCAAGTCGAAAAAAAAACAAGCAAAAGAGATTTTTGTACATGCCCATCCTTCTATGCTGCGCACCACAGATGTAGAAATAATAAGAAAGAAAAAGAGAAAAAGATGAAAAGAATCAACAAGATGAAAAAAAAAAACAAGAAAAACACAGCTGTCTTCTCCTTCTTTTCTTGTGTCTCGCGCATTCTTTGGCCAAAAAAAGCATCCCTTTCTTTTTTTTGTTCGCAACAAGCATTCCGTCTCTAGTTTCTCTAACAAGGGACCTGCCACAGGTTGCAGCCGTAACTGTCGTCATGGTATTTTGAAACAAGGGGGATATAAATGCGCCCGTTTTTGTATGTAATCCGCGCACCCCATATGAAGAAGTTGAAAAAGAAGAAAGAAGGGGGGTAAAGAGGTATAAAGAGAGTTAAAAGTACGGAACAAAGGAGAACAGTGATTTGTAGTCGGAGAAAGTAGTTGGAGAGAAGAGAAGTGAAGAAACGGTGAAAAAAAGAGGTGAATGAAAATGCTAATGCTTCACGCAAGATGCATCGTGGCCATTCTCCTGGGCCACGACCTGACATCTCCCTCAAACGCCTGCCGTGCTATGAATCGAAATGATGTAAATGGGAATAAAAAAAGAATTATTGCATATGCGAGTAGAAGATGAAGGTGAAAAAGAAGAAGAAAGACACAAGTGGTATCAATGGAAACTCAAACCACCACCCCCTGGGTATTAAGTAAGGATATTATTTCTTCAGCCCAAACAGGCTGCCGCCCTTTCGCTCGCCGTCGGCTTCCCGGCCGGTCGCCCCGGTTGTCGCAGCTTTACTGCGCGACCGCAGGAGAAGGTCTTGCTGGGCCTTGTCGCGCCTCTCTTGCCGGCGTTCCTCGATCACCTCTTGGCTGAGGTGGTTGAAGCCGTTGCGCCTCTTGAAGCACGTCTCCAAGACTTTGTTCGCGTCGAGCATCTTCCTAGGCATCGACTGGACCACGCCAAACATCTCCATCGGGTCTCCAATCGCCTTGATCTCCGCCTCTCCCAGCTTGAAGATGGCCAGGGCAACGCGGAAGAGCGTCTTGGATCCTTCGTAGAAGAAGACGTCCCACACGCGCAGCGTCGTCTCAATGGGCAGCGTACCGATGTAGCAGCTCATGAACCACGCAGTCATGCAGAGGGTGATGGGGGGAAGCCGTTCAGACGACAGTGCCGCGTGAGTTTCCTTGCGCTTGAGTCGAGGCGTCAGCGGGTTCAGCGGATTTCGCACCGACTTGCTGGTCATT